GAAGAGAAAATCATTACAAGTGTCCTGAGTTGGCCCTTAGCTGTCAGTTCACTAAAAGGGGTGCTAAGGTCACAGCATTTCAGCATTTTTGTTTTAAGAAAGTGTTGGTTTCTTCAGCCCAAATGCCCAAAAATACATGATGGGATCAAGAAGAGGTGGTACACACACACACACACACACACACACGAATATTATTCAGCTATCAAAAAAGATACACTCATGCCATTTGCAGCAACATGGATGGAACCAGAAGGGATCATGATCAGTGAAATAAGCTGGAAGGAAAAAGAAAAATATTGAATGGTTTCACTTAGAGGAGGAATACAGGGGAACCAAATAAGGGATCAGGAAAAAAATAACAACAAACCACCACAAAAGTAGCAGGCAACCATAAATCAGAGACAGACTGTGAGGGAGAGAGAGAAAAGGGATCAAAACAGGGGAGAGAAGAGCACAAGGGACTACGGTGATGGTTCATGGGTGAACTGGTGGTGGGAATTTTACGGGGATTACACAATGACGTAAAAGATATAAATAAAAAATTAATTAAAACAATATTCTCCCGGGAGAAATGCCAGTTCTCACCAGTGTTCAGGGGGGTGCTCTACAAACACAGGTGTCCCTTAGGAGGTTAACTGTGCACCCCCGCCCCTTAGCTATACACCTGCAGAAGCGGCCCTGACATTGCTCAGAAGCATGCAATTAAAAAAATTTTTTGAGAGGGTAAGGTTGGAAAATGCAAGGGGTGACAAAATGTTTGCCTTAAATATAATTGGTAAAATAAAAAAAAAGAAATGAAGATGTTCTGGTTCTAACTCTTCTTTTAGCAAATCACTGGAAATGTTTTCTTAATCTTTTCTTTTTCATATTTTCTAAGATGTTACTTCTGTTCAACATAACTCTGGACTCGGTATTATTAGCAAATCACCTGGAAGTTTTCTGCCATAAAAGACCTTAGGAGAGATCAGAGCAAGCTGAAGAAGTTTTGGTTTAAGAATTAACTCAACCAAATATTTTAGTCTACTGCTACAGAATTTACCCCATGCTCCCAGGTAGAAAGAAAGTACATCAGGGACCTTCCTAGTGGAGCAAGGGGTTAAGATGCAGCACTAATCAGCTACGGGTAGCCACTGCAGCACTAATTTGATCCCCGGCCAGGCAAGTGACCCACATGGCACAGCAGACCTCTTCTGACTTGCCCGCTGCTTCCCTCAGCAGTGTACTTCGGTCAATCTGCTTGTTTTTCTCCCCACTCTGCCTCTGGTGAATCCTCTCACCTCCCACACCTCTGGCTTGTACCCCAGTTCTTGTATATGTAAGTAAATAAATCTTTAAAAAAAAAGAAAGTACATCAGACTTAATTACTTAGCCCTGGAAGACAAATACAACTCTGGACTGGAAAGGTTAACTACAGGACTTGCAAATTCAAGGGGAGGTACAGTGACAATCAGAGCTACATCTGTTACAGCAAATTCTTATAGCTGTTTAGGGTTTTAAACCTTTTAATGATCAGTCTATATTCTTATCTCAACTTCCTTATATCTACTCTAATAGGGGAGGGGGCCCAGTATGTAACAAAGAGCAACTCACTCGGGAGACAAAGGAATGTTTTGTCGGATGCAAGACATTCATCCTCCCCTTAAATACCTATCTCTTGACTTGTAAGCCTGGTCAGTCAAATCAAAGGGCAGCTGAAACTCTTTCATCCTAGCACATCTCAACTGATGTAAGCCAAGGCAGCAGGCAAATTCTGAACAGAGAAAGAACACCCTTCCATTAGCTAGGGAAGCTGGCTTTCTACAGCAATTTCTCCAGGAAATTGTTCACCTGTCATCCCAAACCCTCCCTGCCACCCACCACTCACTCCCCACCACCAGAGCAGCACACTGAGTTCTGATGCATATTTCAGATAGGCTACTTCAGTTCCAAAACAGTCCCTGTTTAAATGCTCTTCATTATTGTTCTATCAAATTAAGTGCCTATGTCAGCACGACCACATCTATTCTAACCAGACTGCTCTGACCTTGCTGGCATTGAGGGCCCGTTCAATTCCACTTACAATTCACTCAGAAAGACTGGTTATTGGAGAGAAAGCCTGTGTCTTAGCTTGACTTCTTCCTCACAAGGCCACAGACTTGGCAGAATTTCACCGTACATGAGATGGTCCTTTCTAGCTCAACACATTGGAAAAGAAAGCAAAGCTTCGAGGTCAACACCTCTTGAATCAAACTTTAATTTTTATAAATTCAAGCAAAAATTCAGGTGCTTAAGTTGTGGAAAAGTTTAAAAGGTGGACCCACAAAGACATCCTAGAAAATGGATGGGAAAAAAAACCCAAAAAGGCTGGGCTATGTTCCAGAATGTTTAGAACACAGTTCCACTCCTCTGTGCTAGAGGCCAGTGGGAAAGTGTTTTAGAGGAGGTATGGTAAGTTTTCCCAAGCTTCTCTATGTAATTTGGGGCGCTCATTCTTCAGATTTGAGACTTTAGTTCTATTACATATCTATGTATTTTATAAAACTAGAATGACTTACCAGCCGGAATTCTGTTTATTGATGATTGTCATTGGTCTTCTCCCCTTTCCAGGTAACTGCAAACTGATTTTATTATTCAAACAGGGCAGTTTGTTATGGCTCGCAAGGACTGGCTAATTAACTAAGTTCAGATTTTTTAAATGGAGGGTTAGGGTGTGTGTGTGTAAACAATAAAAGAATGAAAACTGGAAGCCAAGAAGGGATACGCTGTGAATATTTAGTGTCATGAGAGACAGTCTAGGTCACTGAGTACAGGAAAGTCATTATACAGAAAGGAACTTGTTCTGAATTTCCCACCACTGGCAGCAAAGGGTATGCATGAAAGTCCAGCCAAAAATTTTAACATTATATTGCAATAAAAATTTCTAACATTAAAAGATATATATTCATGTTACTGAATTTCAGAGTAAACACTCCTTCTTCTGAGATGGACTAGGAGAAACTTCTATCAATGTTGGTGGTTTATGGCCAACCCTGTCTAGCAGCAAAGGGGAAGTCTTTGAAAGGCCCTTTCTAGCTCTGGATTTTTAGTCCCAAGGACTTCCCCTGGTGATAAGAATGTAGAAGAAAGAATGTACTTAAGTCAGTCATATCAATATTAGCAAGTGTTTTTCTATTGTAAATGCAAAATAGTGCATTTAGTGACTCCTTTCAATAGTACTAAAGACAAGGCCTGATCTTCAAGAAACCCACTAGGGACTCTAGGTCTTCAATTTTGCAAAGTTGGGTTTACCAAAAAATTGAGCCCTTTCTAAAACCCAGTCATTTGAAATCACAGCCTCATTTTTCTGCCACTATTTTCAACCATGCCGTTTCCCCTCATGAAATCTACTGACGCCCCATTCGTTTTTCTGAGTTCGACTGGTTCCAAAGTTTCTATCAGACTGTACTACCATCCTCCCTCTCCTAACTACCACAGCTGCCCCTTGTGTGGCAGCCAATGGAATCTTGTCACCATTTCCCTCACTCCCACTACTGCCTCCACATTCTTTCCTACCCACCACGTCTGTTAACAGTCTCTCACTTCCATCTGCCATTTTCTCTCTCCTCTTGATCTTATCACCTCTCTCAGAAATCCTTCTCTAATCAAGATTAAGGACTCTTCAGACTATAACAGACACCACCTGACATTGATGTCTAATGCATCCCCAATTTTTAAAACAGCAATTACCTCTTGGGATAAGACATAACACCTTTACAAGCAATTTAGGGTGATGGGTGGTAGTGGAATACATTTTCTAAAAGATATGACTATTCAAAGAAAAGAACCATTTCCACAAGCCATCCTTTTAAAGACTGGAGTCCTTTATTTTAATTTTCTCTGATCCTAAGAGATTTCTTTTCAATTTCCACCCCCTCGATGAAGTCTAGCTACAGGCTCAGGCTTACATCAGAAGTTTGAGAGGTGCTTCCAACAAAACATGTATTTTAATTAGATGTTCTGAATGTTGAAGGAATTAAGGAATTAAGGAATCAGTCAGCTACTGTATACAAATTATTCAGATTCTGAAGTTTTATCTACATACAACTTTGCTTCTAACTGAACTGGGTTGGTCATGACTATGAGTTTGGCTTCTTATTGTGCAGAAAGGTTTGAGGATGAAGACTCAGATGTGGTAGGGTTACTCACCCTTGTATCTAGCGAGTCCCATTTATGAAACTGCTTTACTTATGTTTTAAAAGTAGCTTTTATTGCAGGCTAACCTTTCACCATTGAGAAATTAGTGTTCAGGTCTCAATCCAAGCAAAGCTGAGGTTTAGTTGCATCACCTCCATCCTCAGGAGCTTGGTATCCTAGGAAACCCAGGGTAACAACAGGGTGAGTCCAGGACACACATGTTAGCAGACAGTGCAGCATGATGGGGCGGGCATCCAACGCTCTAAGTGTGCTTTAGTTACAAGAATATTTGACATACCACAATTAAATAGCAAAACATTTTAATCCATTAATTCTAAAAATAACAGAGACATTTTATATCCGGTGCCACCTCCTCAAAAGTCTACTGAGGATTAGATAGTCAGACTGTGAAGTACAAAACCAGACATTAAAGATAAAAATGCAGCTTGGGACAAGAACATGGGGGGGTGGGTTTCCTCCCCCTCACTCATAAATGTAAGTTGTCGGTTTAAAAAATCCTTAGATAAAGCATGCTTTCTCATGCTCTATAACCTTTCTCTTTATTTTAAACCTGTCTGAAATGTTTGAAGGCAAAATAGATAGCCAGAAAAACAACCTCCCAAGTACCAACAGTCTGAGCTGGATTCCTGGGACTAAAGATTGTGGTTTAGTTCTATTTCTACCAACACTGTGATATGAGGTACTATGGTTCTTGTTTTACTTACAAGAGGTGTTAGGAATGAATGCCCACTCACATTTAATAATAGCTAATCTAGCACAGAACTGCAGCACAATACCAATAGCAGGAGTGTTCTGAAACAGGGTGGAGAAGTAGACATCAATACAACTTAAAGTTTCCTTTGTTCTCCTGTTTTTACAATGAGAATTCAGCTTAAAAACGACTCTCCAGAATGCCGCCTCTACTGTCTTTTGGCCCACCACATTCCAAATGTGTGACTTCTGATCCCAAGCCCACAGAGCCTCAGGCTTTTGTGATGTGTCCTTCTCGGATGAGGAAATCATAGATTTTCCGGGTTTTGTTCACGTCTATTTTGATGAGTGCTCTTGCCTGTGCCAGTCTCAAGCCTCCTTGCTTGTTACATTCGTTCAATAAAGCAGATTTGTATTCTAAATAGGCGCCCGGGACCAACCTCACCATCTGACAGAGCTGCAAGACACAGCAGATTTAATAAACATTAACATCTGTCATTCTCATAATTTAATCCAACAGGTATATAGCCAAAATCAAATTTAAAAAGTGACATCAGCCTCCAACTATTTATAGGAGCTGTTGGGTGGCTAGACTGCATTCCATTTAGTCTCCTCTTTGGAGAGAAGACTCCCTCCCTAAAGACAGACACTCAGGAAGAGAAAGGCAGGGAATGATACCGAGAGCTGAGAGCACGTGTTGGCTGGCTCACCTGGGTATGTCAAGTAATACAAATGTATGTCTCGAGGAGCAGCCCAGCACATTCCAACACAGCCAGTCAGGGAAGCCACAGGGCAGTGTGTGAGTGTATGTTTCTGTGTCTGTGTGGTGGCGCTAGTGGTAGTGATGTCAGGGCAGATATGTGGATTCTCAAGTGTGAATCACATAATTTTTAGTATCGGCACAAAGTAGCAGCCCCTGCTTTTGTGACTACATGCCCTACATTGCTAAGGTCACCTTTGCCACTAAAAATCTAGAAAGCTGGCTCAATTCCAGTTCAATGAGCAGTCTGAAGTCACCATTTCATGGGTAAGGAAAAAACTGCCTAAAACTCTGGGCCATTGCATACTTGAACCAGAACGGCCCAAGAACTTCTTCAACGATGCTGAGATAACAACATTACATTTCCTTCTACTCCCAACTATTCTTTTCTGTGCTTGGTGGGAGTACTGTGCCCCGACCGCTCTTTGCTGTCTAACCTGAATTAATGATATGCAGTGGTTGATAGTCTTGGGCATAGTAAAAAGAGGATATGAGAACAAAAGGGGAATTCCTCTTTTGGAATGGACTTCAGAGCTATGGCACATTTTTTTGAAAATTCTTGATGGGCCTCCCCGGTGGCACAGCGGGTTGAAGTTGTCTGCAGCCTCTGCAGTGTGGGTTCGATCCCAGCTGGCTGGCGAGAATCCCACATAGTGCAGCAAACCTCCCCTGTCTTGCCCGCTGCTCCCCTCAGCAGTGTATTTCTGTTGTCCACCTGTTCTGCTCCCTACTCTGTCTCTGGTGAATCCTCTCACCCTCCGGTGCCTCTGACCTGTACACTAGCTCTTGTATAAAAAATAAATAAATCTTAAAAAAAAAAAAAAGAAAAGAAAATTCTTGATTACTCTAAAGGCTGCATTTAAGTTTCAAAAAAAGGCCAAAAGTAATGTGAAGACAAGTCCGATGATTATAATGGAAAAGAAAAGTAGCTCATGGCATTTTTAAACCTAACGTGTGACTACATATGTGATAAATTCATTTCTTTATGGTTATAAATATATGATGGAGACAATTCCAAAACTCTTTCAAGTGATCCTTACTCTGTTGGACTAACTGTAGAACTTCTCAAAGTGATCATTCTACTAAAAGATTACCTGATTTTGGGTTTACAGAAAACTAATTTCATTTTCCTGAAGCACTCAGTATAGGATCTGGTACATGGTTAATGCTCATTAAATAAGAGTGGCTATTACTTAGATTTACGCATCATATGTTCTCTCAAAAGATGCATGGTGGCAGGGTCACAGGGACGGGGGTCTTTGAAAACTGTGAGGTTAGCTCCTGGGATCTCCAGTAGAGTCAAGCTGTGCTTGGTGCTTGTATGTCAGAACAAAATGAGCTTGATCCTGTAACATGTTTAGTGACAGCTCAGTGACTCGACCCCGCCCCGTCCTCCAGCCCCCTCCTCTGTTACCTCCTTTTCTTTTTCATTCAACTTCTCCGTGCCAGGGAGGCCAGTGAGGTTCAAGGGCGGTGCGCTTCGTCTACCTGTGGACACACATAAAAAGGGATATCTAGTTCATAGAAGCCACAAGTCCTCAGGTTCAAGTTCACAGCAACTAGGCCAATTAGGTACAGGATGACCATGTCAGCTGCAGGACATCTCTACCCATCACCTTGGAGCTCAATTTAGATAGCAACAGGGGAGCCCCAATGTTCATGTGAAAACAGTGACTCATTTTCTCTGCTAAAGAACACATACAATCACATACACTGTAGCATCAAACATGACTACTTACCACAGCAGATATCATGCATTTCTTCCTGAAGCAAGTAGGACGCTAAAATCTAAAGCCCAGATGTCATCCAGTTAAGAAAAGTCCTACACTGCCTGCCTTGACAGCTGATGAATGGAAATAACAACTCTGCAGGAGAGACATTTCCCAACCCTCGATACTCTGCCAGCAGCACAAGGCAAACATGGTAATTAACCAAGTACCATTTGCCTTCACATCAAAGGCAGACTGTTATGCTAGCAAAAGGCCCTTTTCATTTATTATGTGAGAGAATACCTGCTCCGTCCAAAGTCACCCTGTTTACCTAAGAGACCTGCACAGAGGAACAATGAGCCATTATATGGCAAAGCAGGGGCTCAGGTGAACTCCCATACCTCACAAACAAACCCAAGTGTGAGATCGCCACCAAGGATGGGAAGCTCAACGTGCAAAGGGATTATGGTTTTATTTTGAATGTATATTTGGGATTTGCGTTCAATTGGGTATAGACAGAGTTAAACAAAGGAAAATGCAGATCGTACAGTAACACGTTTTATAGGGACTGCCTTTTAAGTGGTGAAAAGGAAAGGACTGTTACAGGCTGCTTTGCTGGAAAACAGGCTACTCTGTAATATTAACATGGGGGATAAAGGTATCTCCACGACCATCTCACACCAACTGCTCAAAAACAGCCTTAGACCAAGCGTTCAAAAAGGAGACTACAGTCATTTGGTGCCTCACCAAGGTAACCGGAGGCCAGGGTACAATCAATGATCCAGGCTTCTGACTTTCCACTGCCTTACAAACAATCCAGAACTTGAAGACAACAAGGGATCTCCACAATCTAAATACAGCTGGTAAGGAAGGCTAACACCAGGTAGGAAGCAATAAAGAGTGAGTGAGTGCAGATGGTTCAGAAAACACAAATCCCAAAGCTGCACAGTTATCTTCATTTTAATTAGCCAACATTAAGTAGCTCATATTGCTATATTTACCTTATGGGGAGGTTGGGGGAGTGTAAGAAAGTTACAAAATAAAACTTGGATTTAGCTGTCTTGGCTGCTCCTAAAAGACTCTTTTTCTTCTTTAAGTGTTAAGGAAGGGCCTCCCTGATGGAGCAGGGTTAAAGACACAGTGTGTTGCCAGGCACTGCAGCACAAGTTCGATTCCCGGCTGGCCAGGAAGCTAACTTACATGGCGCAGCAGACCTCTCCTGTCTCACCCGCTGCTCCCCTCAGCAGCGTATTTCAATAGATCTGCTGTTCTGTTCCCTTCTTACACCCCGCACCTCTGACTGACACCCCAGTTGTTGTATGCATAAATAAACCATTAAAAAAATAAGTGTTAAGAAATAATTACTTGACACAAAGGAACAAATGCAGAAAAAAGGTATAATTCCCAAAAGTGGTTTTTGTGAGCCTTCTCCAAATCCTGAATCAGCAGAGAGATGTCTGAATGGGACCCTCCTTGGTCAGAGCTCTCAAACTACTACTGCCCCAAATTACCAGTCACTCACAAGCACCAAGAGTGGTCAAACAGCATACGGCTTAACCTGGCTCTGTAAACCTCAAAATAAGATACAGCCAAAGAGTTAAAGTGAAGAAACAGAAATCTTAAGTCTCCAACTTAGAAGGAGATTTTTGTGTTTCTGGAAAGTAACATGCCTCTTGGTTCATATAGACTACAAATTCTTCAATTTATCTCCTGTGAGACAAATTTCAAACTCTATGGTAGGTACAATCATAGTAAATTTACTGCCCAAACATTAGTAAAACAAAACAAAACAAACAAACAAACAAAAAAAACCCAAACCACCTCTCTAGAGCCCTTTCTTTCCCGCTTTCTGCACTCTAAATGAGGAGAGTCCCTGTCTGGCCATGAATATTCTAAGGACTTGTTGATGTTTATGAGTGGGGCTACCACCTAATTATCATTACTCTAAACACCCTGCTCTCCAAATTGTTGGGTCACCAATCTCTAGAATGAAAACTTCAATCAAGACTTGCTCCAGCTTGAAAAAAAATTACCTGAATTTGAAGCCATTGGAATGGATGGACTCAGGCCGGAATCACTACAATGAAAAAGAGGAATTTAAATCTATGTCACATCAAAAAAAGGGAATTTGTAAAAAAAAAAAAAAAAAAAAAAAAAAAGGGAATTTGTAAAAGCCCGCAAGAAAGGTGTCATTTATTAGGTTGGTTAGTTTGAAGGGACAGAATAATCAACTTTACTTTATAAAATATCTTCCTGTACTAAACAGGAAAGAAAAGCTGTTCTATGGGTGAAGAAATTGCTTAGATTTGTTAAGACCTCTTAGCTTGAAACACAACATAAACCATTCACAGAGAAAGCACAGGAACAGGACTCTCCAATGGAAACCATGCCAACAGATATTAAGGGAGAACAAAGGGAAGTGGAAGGAATTTACTAATTTTTAAAAGATCAAAGGGGCAACAATTCCAGGCTAGTTACGTTTCATAAAACTGTTGGTACCACACTGTTTCTGATATAAAATGCTAAAATTTCTGAATCCTTCTAGAAGTCCAATTATTATCAGTTTGCCCTGCAGGGTAGGGTGTTGGTGAGAAGGCCTGAAAATACATGTAAAGGTCAAAGAATCCAAGAGGACACTCGTTCATGCTGGGCTAATCACCCACATGTCAGCCTGACGGCGGAGCCACTGCTGACAAGCACTGCTGTCCTGGATGTACTGCAGAACTTCGGAGAGCATGGTGCGCTTAAGGCGCTCTTCCTCTCGTGTCTTCTTGAGGTGATCATAGGTCCTGGCACCTGGAGGTGTCAAAAACACGATGACTGTAATGACAGCTCTTCTAACTGACCAGCAAACAGTTTATCTTTAATTTTGGATTCTTCTGCAAAACTGTGTCCACGTTATTTTTCCAAAAGTAAAATAGATGTTCCCTAGTTTGAAATCCTGTTCTTGACATGAAAATATATTTATTTCTTTTATACCTTTAAGAGGAGGGGGAAAAAAAACCCAAGCAAAAAAGTACAAAGAAAGTCACTCATATTTCCACCACCAAAAGGTAACTTTTAACAATGACCTATTTGCTTCCTATTCCATTTTTTCTATTTACATATTTTCCAATGTCACACAAGCGCTGCAAGTGTGTACTTATTTTTAAATACCAATTAGAATTACAAATAGGCAACTCTCCTATAACTACACAGGCACCTCTCTAACTTTCTCCCTTTCCTAATAAATCTGTCCTTTTAAAATGTGATAAATAAAAAAAAAATAAATCTTCATTGACCAGGAGTGTTCCTTTCCCCTCTTTCCAGAGGCACTGAATCAATATCAGGTAACCTAGACTAGAGATCAGAGTCTTTATATGCATCTTATTAGAAACAAGTTGTATAGTATTTATTCTACATGTTAAAGATATGAAGATTCTAAAACACCACACCAGTAGGTTTCAAACTCCATTCTACAGAGTCCCAGAACACCAGGAAACTATCTCAGGATTTACTGTGAAAAGCAAGGGCACCTCCACATACTAGCAGTTCTGGGTTCTACATATAATCTGAACTATTAAACATCAACCAAATTAGTTTCACTTTTGTCTTTCTTATAGATTCGGGCACCACACAAAATTTCATTTCAAAAACAGTTTCCATCGTAAAAAATAAAGAACCATTAGACTAGGCAGAACTTATACCCACAGGGCTATGTTAAGCATACCTCCAGCTTGTGGGCAGTGGACGGTAGCTTTTAGTCAACAGGAAGAAAGGAGTGCTAAAGGTCATTCCAACAATAATAACAAAGCAACAGAAACTGCCAAGAGAGGTTTACTGCGTGTCAGGTACTGTGCTATGTTTTCATGCACTACCTCTATCTCTAATTTAATCTTCATGCTAACTGTAACAGATGTGGAAAATTGACCCTGGAACAGAATGATAGCTCTGGTAAACAGGACAGCCAGAATGTAAACTTAAATGTCGAAGTCTAGACCTCAAGCTCTTACTGCAACACACGGTCTTCTCTCCTGTCTTGGCTCTGTTACCTCTTTAATCACTTTAAACCTAGCACCTTCATTAAAGCAATAATACCTAGCTCCTTAGTTTTTCGTGATAATTAAATGACATGATCCAGGTGACATACTTAGTGTCGGGTCTGGTCTCTGGTAAAGTGCTACGAGTTGCTAGCTGCTATTAATACCATTATCACCACTTCCAGTAATTGGGATGCGAGCTTGGTTAATAATAATGATCAGACCATACATCAAGAAATTTTTAAAGCTGAGGCTAAAAACTGGAATGAAAAATTCTTTAGAGGCCACAGTAGAATCCTGTCTAAATCTGCATTTCTGTTTTATCTGCATTGTAATTTTTCCTCAGATAATTCACATAGTATCTCTAAGTATTAAGTAGATGAAACTTTACCAGAAAGATAAAAAAACTCATTCTGAAAAAGTGTAAAGTTCATTTAAAAAATCAATACCACCGGGGGGGTGAGGGGGATGGGAAGAGAGGAGGAAAGGGATTGGGGTCAAAATAAGGGGGTCGCAATTGTATGGGGAATATAAAAATAAAATTTATAATTAAAAAAAATCAATGCCACCTCAAACAAAGACTTCATCTATGTGTTTTGAAGGCACTTGCAGAGGTACACTTACTACAGAAATTGGTAATGCCTGCCGTCCTGTATTCCTGGAGCCTCTTGATTTCCCTTCGGAGTTCAAATTCCACTGTTTTCCCCAAAAAGAACAAAGAAGAAAAATTGGAAAATCAAAATCAACATCAATGAGCAATTCTGCTGCTGAGTAGCCTTAGTAATTCTGCATATATTAAAGACTGGGCAATTTCACTTGGAAATCCTAATTGCTGGTAACACCCCATTAGAAATTTTACCCAAGTGCTGAGAAAAACCTACTCCAGCTGTCTTCAGCTGCTCTTCCCAGCTGGAGAAAGCAGCTGGAACTGGCTCCTAGAAAATTTAACAGTGAACTGGCTGAATTCATTTGTCTACAGCAGTAACAAATATAATTTATTTTAAAAACGAAATTTCTCCTGCTCTATTCCTCTTCTGTTAAAAGTTTTAATCCCCCCCCAAAAATGAGATTAAGTTAAAATAAATCAAAGTCCTAGCCACATAAGCACACTCTTAAGAAACAGGTCTCTGATGTTACTTGACATGGCTCTTCTGTAAGGGAAAGACAAAAGTTCTGTGCTCAAGTCCTAGGTAGTCTTTTACAGTTTTTCTCCTACAGGAAGAAAAAAGCATTGTGTTTTCTACACACCAAAGCCTTCTGCATCATCTGAGCACATGGATCAGGTTGAACTGCTTGTGTTACCCTGTGATCAAATATTCAACTTGGGTGATTTGAAACAGAGGATGAAGGAAGAGCCTGGACAATCCATGCGGTTCTTTGGAGTGACATACAAACCAGGGATGACCAGGAAGTAAAGGATCAGTCACCTACTACAAACCACATTAAGAATGCCACCCAAACAGGGTGGTTGGTGAGGACAACCAACTAATCTGATAAACACTTGCAATGTCATGTAAGACATATCTGCATGATGAGAACAGGGTAAGAGCCTTGGTAAAGTACCTTTTCCGAACTAAACCTGGGAGTCAAATATATAAATCTCATGATGGAAGAGAAACACCAAAGCACACAGTCCAGATTAAATTAAAGTCTAGGCCTTACTGCCTTAATAACTTCAATTTTTATAGTGAAAAATCAAATAACTAGATTTCTCTCAAGAGAAAAAGGTAAAAAAGGATAAAAGTACTATCTCCATGATGTCCATGAGTCATTCAACTGTTCCCATTTTTATTTACTTATTTTTTAAAGATTTATTTATTTATGCATACAAGAATTGGGGTACAGGCCAGAGATGTAGGAAGGTGAGAGAATTCACCAGAGAAAGAGTGGGGAGCAGAACAAGCAGACTGACAGAAATACACTGCTGAAGGGAGCAGCGGGCGAGACAGGAGAGGTCTGCTGCTCCATGTGGGTTATTCCTTGGCTGGCCGGGGATTGGACTTGTGCTGCGGAGGCTGTGGATTGCTCTATAGTGCGGTGCTTAAGCCCTTGCACCACCAGGGAGGCCCATGTCCCTATTTTTAAAATGAGTTTTTTCTTTTTTTTTAAGACCCATTTGTTTATTCATACAAGAACTGGGGTACAGGCCAGAGGTGTGGGGGGTGAGAGGATTCACCAGAGACAGAGTGGGGAGCAGAACAGGCAGACTAAGTGAAATACACTGCTGAGGGGAGCAGTGGACGAGATGGGAGAGGTCTGCTACGCCATGTGGGCTGCTCCCTGGCCAGGGATCGAACTCGTGCTGCAGTGGCTGCGGACAGATTCATAGGTTGCGTCTTAACCCCTTGCGCCACCAGGGAGGCCCACTTTTTTTTTTCTAAGGGAGGTGTCTGCATAGACAGCTTTTTTTTAATTTTGCACAGAAGAACTAGGGTACAGGCCAGAGGTGTGGGGGATGAGAGGATTCACCAGAGACAGAGTGGAGAGCAGAACAGACAGATTTACTGAAATACACTGCTGAAGGGAGCAGCAGGCAAGCCGGGAAAGGTCTGCTGCACCATATGTGGGTTAGCTCCCTGGCGGGGAGGCTGTAGCAGTGATAGCACTGAGACTCAGCCCCTAGGCCACCAGGGAGGCCCTTTAAAACTAATTTAATACTAAAATATTTAAGAACAAGATAATGTCTAGGATTTGCTTCTAAATAATCCAGTTGAAAGTAGGAGTGGAGTGGGCGGTAAAGAACAAACCAGATTGGTCATGTATTGATAACTGGTGAGCTATGTGATGAATACATAGGGGTTCATTTTACTATTATCTCTACTTTTGTACATATTTGAAAACTCCCATATTATAAAGTAGGGGGGGAACTACTAAATTACTATTTATTTGGGAAAAAAGAAAGTCACTCTTCTCCCTACCTCCAAAGTCCCAAATATACTGCATGGTTACCAAGGGGAACAAAGAGAAAAATATTAATTTATTTATTTAGAGAACTTCACACAAGACACATTGTTACCTCCCCCATTTATTTAAATGGGCAAGTGTACACACACACACACACACACACACACACACACACACACTTATTCAAGACTCTAAAACCACCTACATGCATGGCTTTCAATGAACTTGTCATGCTCCACTGGCCCCACGATCCTTGCAAATCGCCTCATTGTTTCATACAGGTCTTGGACTTCTTTGGGATACCGCCGTTCCATTACTACAGAGATAGCAAAATACAACCATGTCACAGAGAATATAAGGATCCCTAAGTTTTTTGTTCTTTTACAAGATGTGAAATGGTAGGACATTATTCCTAATCTCATATGACTAACTTACCCATGACAGGAAGCAAACAGGAAAGCGAAGAATGCAAAACACTAATCATAATGATAATAGCATCACACAGGGATGTTGCTATCACTGGAGATTATCTACACTGCTGAACACACTGGTGACCTCACACCTTGATGTCTCTGAATACGTATAGAAGCAGGAACTCTTGGTAGTAATAGGAAAGACAATTACAGCAGATGCCGCATTCATTAAGAACAATAATGGGGGCCTCCCTGGTGGCACAGTGGTTGAGCGCTGGGTTGCAAAGCTGCCCACAGCCTCTGCAGCGCCAGTTCGATCCCTGGCCGCCAGCGAGGGTCCCACATGGTGCACAGACCTCTCCTGCCGCACCCGCTGCTCCCCTCAGCAGTGTATTCGGTCCTTCTGCCTGTTCTGCTTCCCTGCTCTGGCTCTGGTGAATCCTCTCACCCTCCCATGCTTCTGACTGTACCCAGTGCTTGTATAAATAAATAAATAAATCTAAAAAAAAAAACAAAAAACAATAATGGGCAAAATTTCTAGTATTCATTTATGCAGGAAAACAAGTGATGTGCAGACATAATAATCTATCAAGAAGAGGTAGATAAGCCTGGAGAAAGTATGTGATTTCTTGCATACCCCCTAAAATCTTTTTTTTAAAAGAATTATTTATTTATACAAGAACTGGGGTACAAGCCAGATGTGCGGTAGGGTGAGAGGATTTACCAGACACCAAACAGGGAACAGAACAGGCAGACTGATGAAATACAATGGAGAGGGGAGCAGCGGGTAAGACAGGAGAGATCTGCTGCACCATGTGGCTTTCTCCCCAGCTGGCCAGGATAGAACTGCATTAGAGGTTGTGGACGGCCAACAGTGTGGCGCTCATCCGCCTGCGCCACCAAGGAGGCCACCCCCTAAAATCTTTGCCCTTCCCACACATCTTCAAGTGAGGCATAAAGTTCTTCATTTTCCATATGGGTCGTTTTGTCATTTTCCTTTTTGCCCACTGCTCCCCTCAGCAATGTATTTCAGTAGATTCGCCTATTCTGCTCCCCACTCTGTCTCTGGTGAATCCTCTCATCCCCCTACACCTCTGGCCTACACCCCAGTTCTTATATGCGTAAATCTCTAATTAAAAGAGGTATCAGCAAAGAAGTTGGTGAGTAAAATCTACCAATAACAACTGGTAGAACAGGAACTCTGAACTGCTACTTGGTCATTTCAATTTTTTTTTCAAGATTTATTTTATTTATGCATACAGAGCTGGGGTACAGGCCAGAGGTGGGGGAGGAGGGTGAGAGGATTTACCAGAGACACAGTAAGAAGCAGAACAGGTGGATTAACTGAAATACACTGCTGAGGGGAGCAGTAGGCAAGACAGGAGAGCTCTGCTTTGCCATGTGGGTCAGCTCCCTGGCTGGGGATCAAACTGGTGCTGCAGTGGCTGCCTATAGCTTCAGATAATCAATATTAGTTTGTCTACTTTTACACTAAAGACACTTAAGACAATTATTTAAATTAAGTCTTTTTTTCAGATGACTCTTTTCAAGAGACATTCCTGCCCACAAATGCCAGAAGTTGATTTCATGGGTAGCCACAGATTAATTCCAACACACACACACACACGCACCAAAATATAACACACTCACTACAGAAATAGCTAAGAAGAATTTGGATAAAAATTTTAAATTTGATGAAAAACCCTTCTGCATTCCACATGGTACTCTCAGTACAATGCCTCTGAAACCACACTGCATATGTGACTTCTTTCTCAGAAGCAACAGAGATTCCCCTTGGCCCTATACTTAAATAACAGTGAACAGAATCATCAGGCTAAACTGACCTCTGTCTACCAGCTAAGAATAAAATTTATGTGAGAGTCAAGATCTACTGTGAGTTAAAGTCAAACCCCAACAAACCTATTATGGAAACCCCAGGAATTCAAACAGATGAACCAACTTCTATAGCTACCAGCACATGACCTATTATTGTCTAAGAGAGGGCAAAGGAAATCTGATCTTGAGGTATTTTTGCAAACCCAAAGCTTACAATGAGGATGGGTTAACCATGTAATCTTGTATACTGCCAGAAGGAACGTAAGTTGATATAACCACTTTCTGGAAAGCAATCAGGCAACATATGTCAAAAGTTTCTGACCTATTAATTCCACTTCTGGGTTCTACCTAAACAAAGTTTCTAAATATAGACAAAGCTTTGTTCACAAACAAGTTCAGTACATTATTTATGATGATTAAAACTGTACATAAGCCAATATCCAATAATAAAAGACATGTTAAGCATATTATTTATGTATATAAGACATTATGTAACTATTAAAATGACAGCCTCAAAATTTCTCAATAACTTGACAAATGTGTAATGGAAATGAAAAAATAAAGAACATACTTATGATCATGATTATATTAAAAGACACACCTCCATGACAGAATGACCTGAACCCTACAATGGCACAGTGTCCAACTCATATGACTCTATCAGCTAGGATATTTGCCACAATAATCATTAGCTACTTTTACAAAGAAAGAGTATTATCACATTCAACCAATACTTTTTTTTTAAAGTATTCAACCAATACTTTTTAAAAAAGATTTATTTTATTTACTTATGCATACAAGAACTGGGGTGCAGGTCAGAGCTGCAGGGGGTGAGAGGATTCACCAGAGCCAGAGTGGGGAGAAGAGGTGGACAGACTGAAATACACTCCTGAGAGGAGCAGCTGGCGAGACAGGAGAGGTCTGCTGCACCTTGTGGGTCAGCTCCCTAGCTGGGAATCGAACTCATGTTGCAGTGGCTGATGATAGCTTGGTAGCGCTGAGACTTTAACCTCTGCACCACCACAGAAGCGCTGTTCTCCCAATTTTTAAAACATTAAGGTCAAAGTTAGCATCCACTAAAAATGCATTTTTTCTATTTGTCTACTACCATAAAGAAAGGTATCACTTCCGTTGATTTTGTATAAAATGTTTTTACACCCTGGTATGCAAGGTTAGGGTATATTAAATATATATTTCCAAATCATGATCTTAATCCAGTTGCAGGAAACGATAATTAATATTCATGGAATAATCACTATGCTAATGTTAAAAACAGAATTCACATACAAGCATTGTTGACTATATATTAATAGTTCTGGAGTCTCTCATTATGCATAAGAATCGCCTTGAAAACTTTAAAATATTACAGATGCTCTAGCTCTATCCAGAGATTCTGACTTTATGGGTGATACCCATGAATCAGAATTTCTTAAAGTTTCCTGGTGATGCTAATACACAACTTGGATTAAGAATGATTGCCATAAGAAATGTATTTAAAACTATTCAATAACGTTGGAAGAAATTTTAAATAAAGAAAATAGCTAATACTTACACTGAAATTTTCTAAGGTTGATTAATCCATGGTCTCTTATAATTCTACAAAGAAAAAATCACAATGATCTGTGTATTTTAAGTAGTTCCACATTTAACCACATCTTTCATATGCAGTTTTTATTAAGACATCTTAAATACTCGAAGGCAGAATATCAAAGTCCAAAAAAGTCACTTCCCACAAAATTTTGCTGGCCAGTGAATGACACAATTTTAGGCTCTTAAGCATCACATATTTTCCTTTCTTTGGGTCTAGTAGACTCTCAATAACATGCTGAATGAATGAATGAGTACTCACAAATTACTAAAAATACATGGCAGTCACTTAAGATGAAACAGAAGGGAATCTGTGTCCATGCCATAAAAATTAATCTCTTCAGCTTAGGGAAATGATAAAATGAAGAACACCCATACAAGGGAAACCTGTTAACCATAAAAGGGCACTAGAATCACACATTCAGTTTTTATAACTGTACATTCACATAAAGTTTTGAAACCATTTGAAATACTATGCATGGTTAATGGAAAGGTATAAAACAAAATTTAATGGTAACCACAAAAATTAGGTTCTGCAATACTCTCTAGTTCTATTTGTGTACTGTAAGCAAACAGATTTTCTTTTTAAAGATTTATTTACTTATACAAGCACTAGGTACAGTCAGAAGCACGGGAAGGTGAGAGAATTCACCAGAGCCAGAGTGGGGAACAGAAAAGGCAGACTGATGAAATACACTGTTGAGGGGAGCAGCAGGCGCGGCAGGAGAGGTCTGCACACCATGTGGGACTCTCACCGGCAGCCAGGGATCGAACCGGCGCTGCAGAGGATGCGGGCAGCTTCGCAGCCCAGCGCTCAGCCGCTGCGCCACCAGGGGAGGCCCTAGATTTTTTTTAAGATTTATTTTTTATTTGTTTATGCATATAAGAACTGGGGTATAGACCAGAAGTGTGGGAGGGTGGTGGTGAGAGGATTCACCAGAGACAGAGTAAGAAGCAGAACAGGTGGATCTACTGAAATACACTGCCAAGGGGAGCAGCAAGCAAGAAAAGGAGAATCTGCTGTGCCATGTGGGTTAGCTCCCTGGCCAGGGATCAAACTCATGCTGCAGCAGCTGCTGATAACTTGATATGCTGAGACTTAACCCCTTGCACCACCAGGGAGGTCACAGCAAACAGAATTAAACTATGTTGAGTTATGTGCATGGAACCACTATTTTATACCTCATAAGAACGGCTAGATGAGATTCTTTAGCATTTCATAAATGCTAACTCCAGAGAGCAAGCTTTGCTTTATCTTTTTTTTAGCTTCTCTTGAAAGAGCAAGCTTTACTTTAGATCAATCTTGGTGCCACAGGAATGCCTCCCCAGTCCCTCCCCTTTTTATTGCTGAGACACGAGTGTCTCCATGGAAACACAAACACACACACACACACACACACCCTCTGCAGACCCTTCTCTGAACTCCTGAAGTCTCTGTAATCCAATAGGGAGGGATCTAGGATCCATATTTCTGTCTAAAGTGTGTTTTTTTTTTTTTTTTTTTATAGAGGCATGTTTTTTTATTTATTTATTTGTTTGTTCGTTCGTTTTGTTTATACATGCACTGGGTACAGTCAGAAGCGCGGGAGGGTGAGAGAATTCACCAGAGCCAGAGCGGGGAGCAGAGCAGGCAGAAGGACCAAAGTACACTGCTGAGGGGAGCAGCAGGCGGCAGGAGAGGTCTGCGCGCCATGTGGGACCCTCCTCCAGTGGCCGGGGAGCAGCCGGGGATCGAACCGGCGCCGCAGAGGTCGCCGGCAGCTTTGCAACCCAGCGCTCAACCGCTGCGCCACCGGGGAGGCCCTAAAGTGTGTTTTTTGTTCTGTTGCAAAGAAATAGAACACTCTTGTTTTAGGCAAGAGTACCTAAAACATTGTTCACAATTTCTTTTAAATTCTTTTAGATAACAACTTCTCATTAAAAATGTACAGCTACAAAAAAAGCATTAAAAAAAAGCATAACAACAAAAAGAAACAAAAAAAATCAAAAAGCATAATAACTTGAATTTATCTTTTTCCTTATTTCTTTAAAACAGTATACCTCAAAACAAACAAAACCAGAATACCCACATTATTCACTGATAATCAAAACAAGAAAAGTTAAGAGAGGAAGTTTACCAAAAAAAAAAAAAAAAAAAAAGACAGGTATTATTATTTCCATGTGACAAAAATCTGAACCCAAGCAAGATAAGAGTCTTCTGCAAGGTCGCAAGACAACCCACAAATGGAATGTTCTTATACAGCACTTGGTTTCAACAGTCCAAAGCTGAAAGAAGAAAAGATGGTTTCTCTATACTTACTTTTTTCGCCTTTGTCTCTCCTTTAACCTGGAATGATATATATCTACTACAGCCATCTTCAGAGCTATAAATAGACAGACAAGTAGTAAAGTATGCACAGACATATAAACATAGCCAAGACAAAAAAAATTTTTTTACCCCCAACTGTCCTAAACTTTGAACCTCATATTACTAATTATCCCACACTTACTGCTCTAGGATTTTTTCCCTTAGAAACAAAAATATTCTATGATACTGAATTTCCTTATCAGTAAACTATCATAAGGTCCTTTTTCCTATGTTACATGTTTACATGGCATTACCCCATATATGACACAATTTCTGTGTTCTTTGTAACACCTCTTTTGCCCATGTCTTATTACATATATTAACTAGCTTTCACACAACAGTTGAACAAGGAGTCTGAACTTGTTAATAGATGGGCTCAGAAATAACATCTGAAATAACATCTGCTTGAGTAGTCATAAAGATGAATATTGATTGTTGTTATACCCACACAGGAGTAAGCTCAGGAGACAACATCAAGATGAGACTGCCGTGAACAAAGGTGTAGCTTAGACACTTTCCCAGAGTAGCAAGGTAATTTTGGATTCAGCAATGACAAGTTTCACTAAATAGCCTAAGAAACCAAAAGCTGTGCCCTGCTTGGCTGCCCATATCCCAATCCTTTCCTGGCTTTAGTCTCATGTTAAAGATATTGAGAATTAGCATGAACAGTTAGGGATAACAAAGTTTTCATCAATACAATAGCTGTTTCTCCTGATTTCCTGTAACAATTTTCCATCTTCAGAGTTCCTTAGTGTTCTGTTCTCATCTCTCCTTTCACTCCTCATCTTATTCCTATACCTCATCCACCCCTATGGTTGTCACATCCATTAAGATATAGAAACTCAAACTCAAGTGTTTATTTTAAACTTCAGACCCTACTGGACATCTCTAATCAGATGGCCTTTGGTTACAATCCTATATTCTACCTCTTTCCCATTCCTTAGAGCCCTTCCCTTGGGTAACAGTATAGATGATACCAGAGTAATGTTTTTAAGCACAGTTTTTATGGTGTGATTCCCCTGCTTATAATTTTCAGTGATTTCCCACCCACTTACAGGAGCTCAAATTCTTACCTGCTATATAAGACCCTGGTCTTCTGCCTATCTTTCCAGTCTTGTTTCCTACCATTCCCACATGTACCCTATACACCACACACACAAACCAACCTGCCCAAGATCACACAGTTATCTAAATACAGAGCATGAATCCAAAACTGGGCAGTCTGGTTTCAAAACCATGAGAAAGACATATATTTACATGTTGCCCAGCATATATATTCTTCTGTGTTAGTGGGTTTACTGTCTGTCTCAACATTAATCATATATCCTAAATCTGACTTAACTAAAAATGAGATGTGTATTTTAAAGAATCTCAGAAATAAAAATCTCGCACAGGTTTTTTACTCTCTGAAGACCTGCAGAGTTAGCAGATGAAGGTCAATCATTAACAACTCTAGGAAAAAAATATGAGGAACAGAAATTTAGCACTATGTTACATTAAGCTGATCTAACTTAAAAATCTATGGATTACAAAGGAATATTAAGATTTACTAAATTAGTAGATTCTGGAACTATCTTAATACCCTGTTATCTTCTTAAGCTATATGGAAGTTGAGTGTTTGTTTTTTTTTTTTGTTTTATTTTAGTTGCTGAATGTATTCATAGAAGAACAGGCTATAGAGTACAACATAATGACCTGACATGTCCTTTGAAAACCTAAAATACAGTATTCAAATGTTACGCAATATAATTTCTAATAACATGCCAGACTTTGCAGCAAAAAATTTAGTTGTGTATGATTATCGCTTCTTCCAGAATAGCAAGCTTCATTCCAAAATAGAGCCGAGAGCCTCTATTATACTGATAAACAAAAACAGCAATACAATCTCTCTGCTCATCCAAAGAATATGAGATACAAGCTCAAGTTTATCTCCTGGGAATAATGAGTCAGTGCAGATTTATATGTTCTACTTTTAAAACTTGTTTTCAAAGAAAATCTTAATTGGAATGGGTGAGTTAGATCTGCCGAATCTCTTCTCCCCCACCCTATCTCGGGCGACTGTTCCCTGCAGCAGTCCCTAGGGTCCCCCACAAACAGTTTGAAACTCATACTTCTGCTGAAGCTAGATGTTAGGGTAGGAAAAAAAAAATGGAACCAATCAACTAAGAGAATAGGACACAATGTCTCCTTAGAACCACCACTTTCTTCAGAATATGAAAGCAAACAAGTGTTGAGCAATGTACAATTCTGACGCAGTGTCAATATGGTTGCTCTAGCAAGATTGAAGTAGTAAGTTCCAGATACCCCTTCCTGACTCATTATTGTGTAGCTCACTGCTACCTGCCCTCTAATCTCAGATTAGAAGGAAGAAAACGCAAAATCCCACATGCTGGGCTAGAAGCACTGAATACATATGTAACTTTGACCAGCGGGAAATGCCCAGGGTAACTTTATCACAGTCATTATTCTTTGGGTCTGAGATAAAAATAGTATTAAATCCTACAAAAACTGGATATCTGGTCTAAAAAGATGAGTGAACACAAGCCTTTCAAAAGTTTAAGCATTAATAAAAAGTATTAACTACCATGAATTTTTGTTTTTGGTTAAGTTTCTAACAAGAATAAGTGTAAATAAATAAACATGTCCCCAAAAAAAGTACAATTAAAATAATTCAATAATATCAGGTCTATTTGATACAAGGGCTTTCGCACATTTTTCAGGTAGGAGAACTGCTACAAATAAACTTTCTGATTTAAGAAATGCCCAGTAACCTGCCATTGTCCTCTGATACAGCTGCTGTGGAGTGATGGGCTTATAGCTCTGCTAGTGGATGCACTTTGCATGCCTGGTGGTGGAAGAGGAAGTAAGAAAAGAGAGGAGAGTATTGTCTCCAACATGCGGCATAACCAAATATAATTTTTATAGTGGATTCTAACTATTTCTTACTAAAAATAGAACTGCAGAACCAACAGTTCAAGAGAGAAAGAAGTATAACAGCTAAGTAAATACAGTGCACTAAGTACTTAGTACGCTCCGTGCTCTTTACATGCCACATCTCTTTTCTCCTCCCAATAATGTGCTCCATAGGAAAGAAAATCCTTAAAGTGGAAATTACTGCAAATTTTGACAAAAAATTTCTGTAATTTTTCTAAGACACTAACTAACCATGCTGTTTCCTGATACTTGTGTGGGGATGACTTAATTAAAGCAGAAAAAACCCGAAGAGACAGTGTTATAAAAACAAATCCATAAATAAATACTGCTGATAATTGGTTCTACTGCTTGATTATTTCAGTAGTTTAAACTTGTAAAACTGGCTCTGGAGAACAAAGGGAAGGTAAGGAACACACTGATGGGAAGAGAACTGGAATTCTCCCAAGGAAAAATCATATCTGAAGCTGTATCTTTTCCTTTATAAAGCATACTGAGATAGCAGCTACTGATCATAAGATCCTAACTGCATGAATAATCCAGGAGGACAACAGCACAGCAGGCAAAACAGAAATGAGAAGGCAGACATTGCAAGAATGAGTTCACTGGTTCACAGTCTACTTAAGGTGCCTGGAGATTCCAATACAAGTGGACAAATAAAGAAGCTCAGAGCATAAAAAACGAACCAAAATTATCTATAACCTAAGGTCCGATGCAAGGTCTTTGAAATCTCAGTTTTGAAGGAAGAACAGACTCTCTGATTACAATGAAGACTGATAAAAGTTTCCAATGGGTGGCCTTAAAATATTTTAAGAAGTGGGCAGAAGTCAGAGGCAGCTCCTTCCCACTGCAATGTATTTCTAACATTGTTCAAAATAGCTGGCAACATGTTTCTGTTTTCCTGACAGAAGGCACTTACTGCTTGCTTGGCAAGAAAACCAACTCAGAGACCTTAAATGCAGGGAAGCCAATCAAAATCCCTACTGCAATCACATTAGCACAAACCTGTGACTCAGGTATTCCCCAGAACTGAAGCTTTTTGCAAGTCATTTCCCCCCTAAGTGTTTGGCCAAGGTTTGCACAATTAGTTCCATGAAGAAAAGAAGACCATGTGGCTTAGCAGGATGCCTTAGGGAAGTTACTTAACTCCTGTGCACCCTCCCTGAATGTAAAATGGGAAAATATCTATTCCCAGGAATGTGGGTAAGTTATAGAAAATAACAAATATGAAATCTTACCAACACAAAAAACAAACCAACAACAATAAAGACCAAATCAAAATACCAACAACAAAAATTCAAGGTTGTAAAGACTGTATTAAGAACACAGACTATGGAGATGGCTCTGCCACTTGAAGGCTATGTAAGTACAGTCACGTTACTTGACATTTTCATTCTTCAATTCTCTCATCTACAAAATAGGGATAATAATAGTAATGACGAATTCAAAGAGTTCTGTAAGAATTAAAAAAATTCAGATGTCTGAAGGATAAAGAATAGTACCTGGCAAACAGTTAAGTGGTATACGTATCAGCTATTATTAATGGCATTTATGTCTAAAGTGCCCTCAGCATAAACAGCCATACCAGTATAAAGGGAAGGAACTACCAACACACAGGCAAGTGTGCAGAGAGACCAAGCTGAACCGCTCATCTACTAACTATTAAAGGCACTAAAGGCTAATGGTGTGAACCAAAGGGCGGGGGAGAGGGTAATCCATGCCTGGCCAAGAAATTTTCCTGAAATTAACTTTCTAAACAGAGGAAGAGTAAACTGTTCCAATGCACATCCCTGACAAAAACACCCACAGACCTAACATTTAGGAAGAGGTTCATAATTCCTCTTGTTTGTCTTAGTAATAGGACAGCAATGATTAGAAGATGCTGCAATTAGGGTTCTAGAACCCATACTCTTCTAAGAAAGAGCAGTTCACATATTTAGGAGAGATTTTCCCAAGTGAAAGGAGACAGGGAGAAGCCCCTCAGAAAAGAGGAGCTGCACCATGCACCTGCACTGAGATCCCACAACACAGCAGAGTATAAAGTTATGAACCTTCTGCCTCTCTCTTTCTGAATCATCATTGCTGCTTATTTCAATAAAATATGAGCAGATGTCATTTAAGGATCCCAGAATTTCCTTATTTCTTTCTAAGACAGTTTTAGATGCAGTATCCTTTTCTACGGCCATTCTGAAAAACTTCTGGCACAGCTGAAATGCAATTAATTATCCCTCCATTGTGCCCAGACCTCCATTATGGAGGCCATTTTACAACAAAAATTCCATGAATTAAAGGAAAAGTCTTTAAGTAAGAAAAGGGCTTGGTGGCACCAGCTGCTCTTCCTGGTGCCCTGGAGTGGAATACAAAACCCAGCCAAACACTTTGCTTCCTTCTAATAGTCGTAAGTGAGGGAACATAAAAGGAATGTTGTTAATGCTCAGTAATGTTAAGGGTGTAATGGTATAATGGAATGGTAATAACACCAATCTGAATTATGTACCATCTTTCATGGAGACATTCATACTCTCTGACTAATCAGTGTCACCCCATCTTTACTGGCAAGGGACACAAAGAAACAGCAAGCAAGATTCCAAGGACTTGCCCAAGATCACACAGTGACTCAGAAGCAAGCCTGATTTGCCCCTTGCTCTATTCTAGATGTGCTTAGACAGCTCTTTCTCACTCACTCTTATTTCTCCTTGGGTCTAGTCCCTTGACTGAATGTTCTGGGATAAGACACTCTGGGGCAATATACCTCACAAGACAACTTGGTCATGTTGTTAGGAAAGTTAGTTGAAGTTAATATAACTCAGTGGCATAAACAAAGCAACTCTTGGTGGTCCATTAAGTCATTCCCTTGATCTCTAGTGCTCTCAAATCTCTTTTAAAGTGATCTTATCTTTTAAAAAGCACCCATCTAAACACCTTACAGTTCACTACTACAAGGTGCAAAAGGGGAACGCAGGGGTTATCACTTATATCCTGTTAAACAACTTGTAACAATCAACTGATGCCTCAGTTCTAGTTCAAATAAACTAGAATCAAGTGAAACTTACAAGGCAGTAGAAACTATAAGAAGAGCATAAATAACTGAAGTAGGTTTGAAATGTTGACACAAAAATCGCTTCTTTCAGATTTTCCCTTTTGTTCCCACTTAATTACAGAAAGGACCAAAAGTGCACCAGAAGAAATTGCAAATCCTGACCCTACGAAGAATGAGTGAAATTAAACAGCAACCATTACTACAGTTTTTCTTAACGCTGAGGCTAAAGAAAGAAGACCTTGGATTAGGGGCTAGGGAAATGATTCAGCAAGTCACTTACACACTTTAATGTCTTTAAAGGACATTAAAGATTCTGACTTTCAAAAGTTTGGTGTTTTTTAACAATATCTAAAAGGATGATATTTATGAAGCTGCTCTTTTTGTATTCTGGGTAAGAAATACAGGGTATTCTTTTTGTATCCTGGGTAAGAAAGCCAGGAAACATGAGCATATATGAGGAGAAATACTAAGCAGCAATCTGCACACTCCCTTCAAGGGAACAACATGAGGTGAGAAAAGAATGACATGGGTTACCGGGGTTGAATAGAGATTGACAAGGAAAACTGAACAAGTACAATAGATCTAGTGAATGCTAAAGTAGTTTGCTAGCAAGCTTTCTTCTTTTAGTTCAACATACGTCACTCTGACTTTCCTTAAAGTTGTGTGGGAGAAAAGAAGAGGAATGAAATTTTGCAAAGAAAACTGCTCAGGAAAGACCATTATACCAGAGAAAAAATTCTGAAGGGAAACTTTCACGAGGGCTCTTTTATGGTCCTAGATCTGATATATCAAATGCCCAGGCAGTTCTACGGAGAGGAAAATTAAATTCCCCTTCTAGTGTGTACCCATTAATGCAACATGAAAACCTGACTTATCATTCAACGAAGATTCCACTTGCCCTCCCTGCCTGGGATACAGCTTTAAGAGAAACAATGAAGACACTTTTGGGGACTACAAAATCCAAGGGAGCATTAGATATCTACTGTGTCTTATGTATCTACTGCAGCATACTCAATTCTGGACTGAAATAAAAGAGAAGACTGGGGATTATTATAAATATTCACTGGAAATGAATAGGTGGAAAATTCGGGATAAACATCTAGTAGCAATAGTTGCTATTGAGGTCCCAAGTTTCCCTTCCTTCTAAGGGTGCCATGAGAGCAACTTCATCAATTACCTTGCTTACCTTAGTCAAAAGGCAGTTCAAGGGATGAGATATTCCCCACCATCACAGTATGCTCAACATTCTTACCATCGACACAGAGCATATTTTTGATTAATCATTTTCACAGGGTTTATTAACCCAACAACAGAGCTAAGTTCAGCAACTTAACCAGTAGATTTTGAGTTCCATGAGAGCAAGAAATGTGTTTTATTACTCTTTGTGAACTGAGCACCCAATACAGTGTCATCACATAGTTTTCACTCAACAAAACATTTGCCAAATTAAAATGTTACCATGTAAAATGTCCGAGTCATCTTCAACAAAATCGATGTCTCTCAAGTCCCATTCTGCATAATTGTCAAACTCCTGTTTGGGGAAAAAAATTCCCACCACAAACCTATCAGCTTTGAATAATGCCTTTACAGTAATCAAGCTTTAGAAACAAAAAGAAAACACAAATACTTGATTAAAAAATAAGGAATGGGGAATAAGGCCAGGATACTGCCACAAGTAATAAGAAGTCATGTAAAAAATCTGAGAGGCTTTCAGGCAGTAGTAACAGCAAAAAATGAGAATAATTACAGTTCAGGAATGAAATCAAAATAATTGTTCTAAAATTAAGTTTAATATGTTCATAAAATCTAACCTAAGAAAATTAACTCTGCCTAGGCCTTCAAGTGTTTAGGTAAGAAAGTTGTCTGCATTAATTCACCTATCTTTTGATTATCTTCTGAGAGCATGATTTATTCAGTAATATTACTTATAAAGTTCAATGGGTAGATTTGTTCATGTTCTATTTAATAAGCACAATTTTTAGGGGTAGCATCTACAATAGCAACTGCCAGAAACAAACTGCTGGCCTGGGTATAACTAGCAAAAGTTGTGTAGTTTGCTTAACTTTCAAATTACCTCCAGGAGCACTGTGGTTGTGGGTTAGAGGATATATCAGGACTTATGACTATATTCACATGGCTTTTAACTTCATGGCTGAATAAGGAACATGAAAGTTCTATAAACTTTTATCATCCTTTACATACCTGTGGATAGAGTATAGGGATCAGCAAACTATATAGCTCATGGACCAAATCCAGTTCACTTCCTTTTTTGTAAATAAACTTTTATTGCAACACAGGTAAATACCTTTGTTATGCCTATCTATGTTGCTTCTGCATAATAACGGCAAAGTTTATTTGCAACACAGATTTTAGGGACTGAAAACTTAAGATATTTACTATCTGGACCTTAATAAAAAAAAAAAGGTCCAACAACCTTGAAGGTCCAACCCCCTAGTTGTGGGAAAAGAACCAGCTCAGAAACCTCATATCTACTAAGAACGTGGAAGCCAACACAAATGCAGCTTAAACAGGGGATTCTTGGTCTGAAGGACTTATACTATATGTGAAAATATTTACAAATGAGAAAATGCACTCAAATGGAAGAAATGTGGCTGCCACTAGTCCTCACAACTTATGGTGCCTTGAAAAATCTCTTTCAGTGGTTTGGAACCTTTGGGTAAAAGATATAAGCTTCATCAGAAACAAAAACAAGTTTCTCCTACCTCAATGAAATCTGCTCGAGCTGGCATGTATCCTGCCATATCCCGAGAAAGCAAAGAGTCAAAGGTAGGTCGGGGAGGGTCGTCTGTAGCTGAAAGAATTTAGAATTTTTCTTAGTTACTAAATAAATAAATACTGGCATAAAAAAGTGGCACAGGAATAGATCCCATCTATACACTGAAATATTTCTGGAGAAAGACGCTATCTGAGATAATAAGTAGAATTCAAAAGATTTTTAAAACCAATATTATTTCAATTAAAAAAAACATCCTTTCCCAATACATTTTATATTACAATTATTTTGGGGATGGGACTATATAATGAATATGCAGAATAAAGTAATCATGATTCAAATTAAAACAAAAAAAGATTTTTATAAAGGGAAAAGTGAAAAATATAAAGAATTATAGAAACAGATTGATTTCCTAAAAAGGAAAGATTTAGGGAAACTAAGATTTAGGGAATCCTTTATTCTTTTTTTTTTTTTTTTAAAGATTTATTTATTTATGCATATAAGAACTGGGGTACAGGCCGGAGGTGTGGGGGGTGAGAAGATTCACCAGAGACAGAGTGGGAAACAGAACAGGCAGACTGACTGAAATACACTGCTGAGGGGAGCAGCGGGCATGGGCGAGTCAGGAGAGGTCTCCTACGCCTTATGGGTTGCTCCCTGGTGGGCCAGGGGATTGAACTTGTGCTATAGAGGCTGCGGATTGCTTCATAGGTTGTGTCTTAACCCCTTGCGCCACCGGGGAGGCCCAGGGAATCCTTTACATACATGGAAAATCCCTCTGATTTTTGCTTCTCTAACATGAGGAAAAAACAAGGATCTTTTAACAGTAGAGAACATAAGTATCTACCCTTTGTGCCTCAGGTTCCTTACCCCATAGAGCCAATCTCAATTTACATACCTCATCCAACTGAGAAACAAACAAAAAAAAATTAGATTTGGAAGTTAGCTGGACTTGAGTCCCAGCTCTAACACCCACTCATCCTATGACCTGGCACAAATTATACAACCTTTCTGAATCTTATTTGTTCCTGGGCAAAACAAAGCTCTTGCTTCATCCAACTCATAGGGTTGCTATGAGGAACAAATGGTCTAATGGAGTTGAAAACCAAGTAGTAACACCCACAGTACTATTCAAATAAGTGGTATCATCAGACTCTGAGTTAGTAAGCTATGAAACTGTTTCTGGAGAGTATGAAGAAGAGGGCCGGGGAAGGGGAAACATTCATATCCCATTACTTGTGCTCTGGGAGTCATTTAGCAAAGATGTTCATTTATAATTCATTATGGTTTTGTTAGAAGACCCAAGAGTCCCTCAGCCCTGTAAGATTTTTTCTAAAGTTTTCACAACCAAGAGAACAAAAATGACAAATTGCTTCTTGGACTTAGCACTGGCATGATTAATAATGATGAAGCAAATACTGAATTCTTAAGTAACTGATCATATACAATCTACAGTGTATACATATCTACAATCTACAGCATTCAGGAGCCTCAGAGTGAGTAGAACTGGAATACACCTATTCTTCTTGCCCCCTTATGGTCCTGCCTTTAAATAAGTGCCACACCAGCTCCTATCTTTCATAAGCTATTTAGTTGCCAAAAATTATCAAATCACTGTTTATCTGCAAAAGAACTCGAGGATTAGCTAGTGTCTCTTACCAAAACAGGGAGTCACTTACAGTAAAATGGAATGGCTGTGTCAGCAGTTTTTGCCTCCTCTGCTTGCTTCAGGTTCAGTAGGGTGGATGCAAACAGAGGATTATTGATGAAATGCTTCATATAGTGCTTCTCACATTCCTCCTTGGTCTTGGTGCACATCTGATTGGCTACATCCTGCCTACAGGAGTGTGAGGAAAAAGAGAAAGAAGCAGGTTTCATTTATAACTATTGGTCAAAGCATGGCTTGTTTTCTAATATTTTAAGTCCTACCCATATAGTGTCTGGAATTTGATACCTCTAAAGTGGTATCACAGAGATATTAACAAAGCAGTGAGTCAAATTATGTAATTTGATCTTATAAATCCTGCTATTCTAAAATACAGAAACAATATCTAAAAAGTGCTTTCCTTTATACCAAAAGAGAAGAAAATCATTAGAAAATCTGTGAATTTCCCTATAAGCTAGACTCCAGGAAAGGAATTGCTATAAATAAGAAGCCATTTCAGAACATTCAAAATGTACATAAGTATAGTTCTACATTTGCAGGGTTTATAGTTTACAAAACACTTCATATGAAGAAACATTTTTATTAGAGTGCCAAGCATTAAGTTACAAACACTTAAAACCTAATTTAGTCTTAGTTAAACCTCACGGTATATACTCTGCTTCACAGATGAAAAAATAAGGCCCAAAGAGATTTAAATGCTTACTTGAGCTAAAAACAGAGAATGTGAAGAAACTGTCTATCAAACCTCAATCTCAGATAAGTTATGGCCATCTACTAAAATATGACTCAAGTAAAGGATGAGGGCATCTAAACCAAGAAAAATTCGTAAAAGTCATAAAGGAGCAACAAAGTCTAAACTTTCCCACTATTTTGAAAAAATGACCAACCTTCCCTGTGCTGATACATCCTAATAATGGTCCACCGAACATCCCATACCCTCATGAGACATTTCAGTCTTGGAGAGTAATGTATATAGGGGAAGAGAACTTGTCCTTAAGTGATAGATCAATAGGAGAGCAACACATGGCCCCCAAACCCCTTTCCCCCTTTACCCTTCAACTGCAGCTTTTCCTCCAAGCTGACAGGACAACCTGTAACACAGAGCTCTTACCAATTTCCAAAGCCACAATCCATCACAGCTTCTAAAAGGGCCATTTCTTCTTGGGCTGTCCAGCTGGGATCAAGAACAGGAAAATCTGAGGTCTAGGAAGGAACAGATAGAGGAATGGAACCCAGTAACACAACTGTGGTACCAATCTACAATCTAATGACTTGTTCTCATGATACTGAGAGGTAGCTAAAATAATTTCTTACTAGTTGTCCACCTCCCCCAGCCCTATTTCCAACTTTAATTATAAGGGTCTCCAATAAATTTTATCACCCATACACCCTGTAACACATGCAGACACATGTATTTTGTAAACTTAGCACAAAAGCAGAGATAAATTTTACAGTATTCCCATTTACCTATGAAAGAGGGGACGTACAAAGAGTGTGATTTATATATTTTAAATAGAACAATAAATCATATATTAAAAAAAATGTTATCTACAAAGGAGAGGGAGAAAGTAGGGTGGGAAGGACAGGAGTAGAAGCTGGATCTCTCTGAAAAGTCTTTGTTTTAAAGATTTGACTTTGGAAACATGTTATCTTATATATAATTATTCAATTTTTAAATCCTAAGAATCAAAAGCAAAAACATAACAAGTAAAACCTATGACTTAATACTAAGGCATAATCGCACAGAAAAAAACTATCCAAAGTGACTTTAAAACACAGTAATTTGACTATACACCTCTAGTAGAATATACCACAAAAGTAAAAGAAGTGCCAAGAAAATGCCAGAATGCTTCCAGACTAAATTTTCAGTAGTGTTGTTGGCACAGTCATCCTGAGACTACCATACATGGATGTGATGGGGGCACATGGTATTGACTTTACTAGGCAGTGGGATTTTGGGCTTGGGGAAAAAAAGATACAAATGTAAGATCTATAAAGTTATGTAAAAACCTTGTATTCTTGTATTTGAACAGAAAGTTTTAATATGAACTGATGATGTATTTTGTCTTAAAATAATTTCCCAACACTCTTCACTGAAAAGACCTAGAAACGATGACCAACCAAGTAGCAGTGGGCATTTCTAAGTGTCCAGTATGCAATCTATAAATATGATTTCCCACTAAGGAAAGCAGGGCTCCTTGAACAAAATGCTGATTCCAAATTTGGATCAAGAAATATATAAGATGAGAGGAACATTTTGTCCTATTAGAAAGCAATGACTCTCTTAAAGATTATATGGGTCATGTCAAAAGTCAATCTGTAAAGGTTCCCATTAACCAAAAATGCAGCAATTTGAGCAATAATAACTGCGAAGAATTGAAACACATCAAATATTCTAAATACCTAAAAGATGCTAGGGAATCAATTCATATTTTCAAAAAACGTGCATTCCTTCTACACATTTTACTTCGGGGCGACCATATAATGATGTTTCTTTTTATAGTTATTTTAACTCATCAACTAAAAGCAATGATAGAAATAAAGGATATTTTATAATACCCTTTTAATACAATGAATTAAAAGATCTAGACAATGATTAAAAATGAATCTGAGGTAGCCAATAATTGTAAGTACCAATTTTATAGGAAAGCACAGAAGACAGGGGAACACTTTAACAGAAAAATCCAATGTCCTAACATCTATTTAAAACCCTAAGTTTTCTTTTCTTTTAATTTGATTTTCTTTTTATAAATCAAATAAACTGTAAGAAATGAGAGAAAGCGGTCTCCCTGGTGGCCCAGCAGTTAAGTCACAGAGCTATCAATCTATCTTCAGCCACTGCAGCATGAGTTCGAACCCTGGCCAGGGAGCTGACCCACATGGTGCAGCAGACCTATTCTGTCTCACCCGCTGATCCCCTCAGCAGTGTATTTCAGTCAGTCTGCCTGTTCTGTTCCCCACTGTCTTTGATGAATCCTCTCAATCCCCCACCCCCACACCTCTGGCTTAGACCCCAGTTCATGTATGCATAAATAAATAAAATAAATCTTATAAAAAATGAGAGAAAGAGTGAGGGAAAAGGAGGTGAGAGGGAGAACCTATAAAATGGAAAAATATATGAGGCAACCAATTAGAATGTAGGGACCTATTTGTATCACAGAACTGTGAAAGTAAAAAAAAAAAAATATGATACTACAACACCATATGATAGCCACTAGAATTGCTAAAATGAAGGAACCAATAATACCAAATGCTGGCAAGCATGTGAAACAATCAGAACTCTCATTCATTTATAACGGAGAAGTAAAATGATACAACCATTTAGGAAACATTTTTACAGCTTATTAAAAAGTTAAATAATCACATTCTATGACTCAGCAAGTCATCTTCTAAGTATTTATGAAAAATATATATGTACCTACAGAAAGTCTTATACAAAAATGTTCATAACAGCATTATTTGTAACAGCCTAAAACTTGGCAAGTATAGGTGTTTATCAACAGAATACCAAATAAACTGTATTATATTCATACAATGCAATATTATAACAAAAAGAAATGAACTACTATACATGAAGAAAAACATGCTGAATGAATAAAATCAGAAACAAAAGTACATACAGTATGAATCCATCTATATGCAGTTCTAGACTGTAAAACTAACCTTGGGAATAAAAATTCGGAATGATTATTTCAGGTGTGAAGGGAGGAGTTTAAAAACAGCATTTATGAGATGACTGAGAAAATGACTAAATGACTAAAAATGATTAAATTACCTTTAATTTTAGAAATATTTGGCAAAATATTTATAGATGAAATGATGTGTCTGGGGGTTTTGCTTCAAAATAATTGGGAGAGGTAGGGAATTAGATGACACATGACTTATGCTGATAATTTTAAGACCTAGAGACAGGTAAGTGAGAATTTATTATACAGTCATGGCAGTTGGTCACATTGGTGACCCCTGAAGTTCTAGAACTCACATTCAGGTGTGGTCCCTTTCCATTTAATATGGGCTGGTCCTGTGGCTTACTTAAGGTCTGGCAGTTTCCACTTTTTGCACTCTTGAGAGCCCTCAGACACCATGTAAGGAATCTAGCCTCCTTGCAGGAAAGACCATGAAGAACATGGTCCGAGAGAGAGGAATGGTTATAGGGGTAAAGGAAATAAGGTCTCTACCTGAAAAAGAACCAAGGTCTTAGGCAGATAAGATGTTCTAGCTAACTCCCTACAAACTCAGGCCATTCTGAGGTTGCCCAAGGTGTGAATGAAAGAAATCGCTTGGATTTCCAGCCCCAGTACATCTTATAGAACCGAAACCACCGTTGTCATGCCCAATCTGAATCCTGACCCACAAAACACAAACTGATTATTTTATACCATGAAGTTTTCATGTGGCTGTCAAGAAACGAGATAACTGAAGTGCCATTATTTCGACATTAGTATATGCTTGAAGTTTTCTATAAGTGAAAAAAAAGTGACACAGGTTTTTCTGATTACACAGGCATTTAGAAAATATGTCTCTAGTTAATGAAAAAAAAATTTCTGTGATGATACTCCACCAGTAAGCAATACATTTTTATATGAGCACGTACTATGAAAATGCCTAGCACATGCGCTACTATGCCATCCAGAAAAGAATTTCAGAATCTACATTTAAATTCATAACAATCACTCAATCTGACAAGTACTATTGTAGCCTGTACATGTAAAAATGACAACTCACAGCTGAAGAGTCTGTTATTCCTAAAGCTGTATTTCAGAAAATTAATTAGCCCATACCAACTTTACTTAAAAAAAAAAAAAAAAAAAAAAAACTTTCTATACTAAAAAATAAATGGGTCTAAGACAGTTTTTCTTAAAGTTGAACCAATATTATTCATTTTCTTTACTGAATCTCAGCCATACTGAACTAGTAGCTCTAACAGGCAGGGCATAGAAATCTGTAATTTTATGAAGGTAATTTTATGTGGTAAAATTTAAGGATCACTGGTATAAAGGGTGTGGCAAGAAAGCAGTGCCTTGACTTGTTCAAGGTTCTAAGAATTACAAGACAAAAATAGGCACAGAACTCAGAAATCTTGATTAATGCACCACCCACCACAGCATGAGTAACTCCCCAAAATAAAGCATTGTGAGATGACAAAGTAATGAAATCCATTTAAAGTTTTCTGAGACTTCACATGCAAAAAAGAAAAAAATCATATTAGTGGCTTCAGGTGTAGAAAACCAAAATGTGGTCATGATTCTTACAGAAAAATTCACCGAAAATAGACAAGGCTGACCTCAAAAGGGGAGTATTTGTAATCTCCAAAAGTTCTCAAAGTAAAGGACAGAATTCTGAAATATGTTTGTATGAGTGTTGAACGTGTGTGTGTGGTGGGGGGGGGGTGCCAGGGGGAAGGAGGATGATGTAATCAAAAGAATTACATGGACCTGGAGTGAAATTTTGTGCTTTCAACATTACGTAGAAAGCATATACCCAGAAAGGCAAAAGAGAGCTCACGGCCAGCACCCCTACAGAGGGTAATCATCAACCTACCTGGAATTAACCTTTAAGGGATTATTTTCAAATGAATAAATCTTTATTCTGTCTTTAGGCAACATTGGGTGAATTTGGGAAAAATAAACCAGCTTACTGAAGATCTAATGACTTTGCTGAAATGAACTCAAAGTCATAGTTACTTTGACCACTCTTCTAACCCTTCATTCACTTTTGCAATTAACAAGGGGGGGGGGAATTGTTCCTATAAAAGATGCTCTACACTTTTTATATTATACATGAAAATATATATTATCAGAGAAGTGCCAATTAAAACAACACAGTACACCTATTAGAATGGCCAAAATCCAGAATGCTGACAACACCAAAAGTTGGTGAGGATGTGGAACAACATCCTTGGTGGTTGAACAACATTGTTGATGGGAATGCAAAAGGTATAGTCATGCGGAAGATAGCATGGCAGCTTAGTATAAAACTAGATATCCTCTTTCCATGTGCTACACAATTAGGTTCCTTGGTATTTACCCAAAGGAGCAGAGAACATATATCCATGCAAAAACCTGCACATGGACGTTTACAGAGATTTATTAATTGTCAAAACTTGGAAGCAACCAAGATATGCTTCTGTAGGTGAATAAACTGTGATACATCCAGACAATGTGAGCTATCAAGATATGAAAATACATGAAGGAATTTATTAACTACGTGAAAGAAGTCAGTGTGAAAAGGGTACATACTTTATGATTTCAATTACATGACACCCTGAAAAAGGCAAAAAACTATGGAGACTATAAAAAGATCGTCAGTTGCCAGGGTTAGGAGGAAGCGTGGATTAATAGGCAGAGCAAAGAGGATTTCCACATCCATTTAAAGTACCCTATATGATACTATGATGGTGGGTACACATCTTTTGTATGTGTACAAACCCATCTTATGTATGTTATATAAAGTACTAAGTTAGAGTGGACGCTAATGTAAATGACAGACTTTGAGTGACAGAGTGTCAGTGAAGGTTCATCAATGATAACAAATGTTACCACTCTGATAGGAGTTGTTGATAATGGGGAAAATCATGCATTTGTGGGGGCAGAAGACACTTGGGAAATCTCTGTAAGATTCTACTCAATTTTATTATGAACCTATGTTTGCTCTAAAAAAGTCTAACATAAAAGAATTTATTTCAAGTTTCATAATCAGTAAATAAGTAACATGGAAGACAGGAGGTGTTTAGAGAGAGGCAGGGGAAGGTAAGCCAGTTGTCTGGCAACAAATGATATTAAGTAGCATTTTGTTAATTCATTATGGACCAGACTCTGACTCTTAGCATTATAGGCCCAGAAACTCAGATCAATATGGTCCACAAAAAGTCAGACTCAGAGATGCTAATTCACCCTTTCTAAAGTTTTAAGAGATGAACACACACTACAGAATAGTGGTAGGCAGAATTCTAAAGATGATCCCCCCTCCCACCAAGATTCCTGTCTCCTGATTATTCAAACTAACCAGATTTGCTGTAAAGTAACTCTGCTGATGGGTTGACTTTGAAATGGGGAGTCTGGGATTATCCTGGTGGAACCAATGTAATTACATAGGTCCTTATGAGTAGAAGAGGATGGCAGGAGAGTCAGATTCAGTGAATAAGAACTGGGGCAACAGGAGAAATCAGAGACCCCAAGTAATTTCTTCAATGACCCACAGAACTCCCTGCTGTTGCTGGCTTAGAATAAGGAAAAAGGGGACCAGGAGTCTCTGGAGACTGAGAGCAAGCCCAGGCCAAAGGCCAGTAAGGAAACAGTGGAATCAGTCCTATAACCTCAAAACAGTGAATTCCGTCAACAATCTGAATGAGCTTGGAAGTGGATTGTTGTGGTTTTCCAATATAAAGCCCAGACCTTAATTTCAACCCAATGAGACCTAGAGCAAACCAGCTGCACTTAACAAAGGTCTTCTGACACACAGAATTATGAGATGATAAATGTGTGTTGTCTCAAGTCACTAATTTTTGGCAATTTGTTATGGAAGCTTGGACAGACACTGCCAACATCTACCTTTAATTCCTTCTTTAGAGTGAGCAATACAATCAATCAAAATATAGCCAAATCCACTCTGGCTTATAAAGCCACTGTGTCTTCAAAGTAATTTTATGTATTATGTCATTTACTCTGCGTTTATTTTTAACTTAATTCTCACAGAGTAACTCATTTCCCCAAAGGCAGGAGGATGGAGTGTCAGATAGAAACTGCCCACATGAACCATATAAAAATATCATTAGCCAAAACAGTGGTGACACATTTACTATGTTTATCAGTGAACCTAAAAAGAAGAATACTTCTTACCCTGATGTCAATAAATCTCAAAAAACACCTTCCTTAAATTCTAGCTTTGAAACAAAAAAGAGCCCCAGAACATATGACTGTTGGATTTAAATGCCTTAATGGATCCATAAAACTGAAAAAAACTTATTGAGTAATAATTACCTAAATCATAAGCAGAGGAAAAAGAGAGAGTTGGAGACAGAATAAAATGAATTCCCAGAATGGGATTTCCCTGTAACTTTATCATTACCATTATTTCATAAGTATGATCACTTTGATGCTTCTTGTACTCAAATCCACGAGTGAAGCACTGCAAAGGAAAAGAAAATCAAGTTAGCAAAAACCTACTTTTGAAATGCTTTAGTTTTTTTTTTAAGATTTATGTTTATTTATTTATGCATAGAAGAACTGGGTTATAGGCTAGAGGTGCGAGGGTGAGAGGAGTCACCAGAGACAGAGTGGGGAGTAGAACAGGTAGATCCACTGAAATATACTGCCGAGGGGAGCAGTGGGTGAGAAGGAGAGGTCTGCTGCACCATGTGGTTAGCTTCTTGACTGGGAATCAAATTCATGCCACAGTGGCTGGCAATAGTTTAATAGCACTGAGACTTTAACCCCTGCATCACCAGGGAAGTCCTTGAAATGCTTTCTTTAAAGAATAGAAAATGGTGTGGCTGGGGGGGGGGAGGGGGTGTTGGGGGGGGGCATTCTATTCATATGATGGGTTTTAAAGAATTCATTTAATCTTGTCTGCACTCAAAATAGGATGGTATATTTATGATCACAGTTTTTCCACTGTCCTCACAAAGAAAAAAAGATTAGAAGAAAAAAAAAACTTTTTCCTAGGAGAACCTCTCCTTTGAAAAAGAGCTTGAGTCCTGGAGTCAGATTGCCTAATTTGGACCAGACTCTGGACCGTATTTCAGCAATTCTAAGACATTGTTTCATGTTTTAAAACTTGGAAATGAGGATTCATCTTACAGTAAAAAATAAGTTAAAATTTTATCAGTCATTTTTGCATTTCACTATTTCCAAAATTGAAATGTTTCTCATGAATGATAGTGTTGGATCCAATAAAATAAGGTATTTGTTGTGTAACCCTGAGCAGATTACTGATCCTCACTTTGCCTGAGTTTCTTCCATAAAAATGCAGATCCTAATCATACTTCATAGGATCATAGTGACAATTGAAGAATTCATGTAAAGTATTCAAAATAGTGCATGGCACTGAGTAGGCATTTATAATTAGTACTATTATTACATCAACATCCAGAAAATAGTTTATTCTCTTACTTGTCACCTGCCCAAAGATGACTCCCTAATAAGACAGTAAGTAGTGTCATAGGTGCCATCAAAAGGAATAATGTTTCAAGTCTGTTTCCTATACTTCCAACAATTTAAAGCTACTGGCAAAAAGTATTCTGGCAGTTTAAGCATTAGATGTATACAGAGATGGAGAATATTCAACAGTCTATTTTATCCATCTGCTTTATTCCCCAACTTTTCATTGGTAAACGCATAATGGAAGATTGACTGGAAGGAACACATTTAATAAAGTATGGTCCCTTTGAGCAATCAATAGTCATCTCTGCATTTACTATGTTCATATAACTAGGCTAGGAGAGGAAACCTCTCCTTAATGAGTTACCTGCAAGCAGAGAAAAAAAGGGGGTGGTCCACATTCAGCACACTTGATATAAGGCTCCATGAGGTAGGAGGAGCAGCCTCGGCAAGGTGGCTTATCAGAAGGATCATCTAGAACAACAAAAAATATTTATTAGCTTCAAAAAAAACCACCTTAAGATAATTTTAACTGCAAGAAGGTGAAAATCTGCAAATGATCATACAGATAGTAAGTTCATTTCAAATAAAAAACAAAAAATTATGTTCCTTTTTTCTCAGGGCATCTTTTTTGTTCCTTCATTGTACCCACTACTTTTTTTTTTTTAAGATTTATTTATTTATGCATATAAGAGCTGGGGTACAGGCTAAAGATGAGGGGGGTTAGAGGATTCACTAGAGACAGAGTGGGGAGCAGAACAGGCAGATGTACTAAAAAAACACTTCTGGGGGAAGACAGGGGTAGCTGGAGAGACAAGAGGGGTCTGCTGTATCACGTGGGTCACCTCCCTGACTGGGGACAGAACTTGTGCTGCAGTGGCTGCGGATAGCTTCATAGTGCTGCGTCTTAACCCCTTGCGCCACTATGGAGCCCTGTACCCACTACTTCTAACAGCTTTTAAGTAAATCTGGCCCCTGAAGAGAAATTTACAAATATTAAGTTTTAAATGGAAATTGCCTAATACATGCAACTTATTTTTCCAGGGGGGAAATGGTAACATTACCCTCACAACTCATTTGTGTTTATAGATAAAGCTGAATCTAGATAGTGGGCAACAGATAATCAACATACTGTTCTTTCAACTTTTTCATAAGTTTGACAATTTTTATAATAAAAAGCTGGGGGGGAGCCCCCTTGAGATATGTCTTTATATTTGAATTGAGATTTAAACCCCAGGAAAGTTCCCTCCCTTTCTCCCATGGAAAACACGGAACACAGACCTTCCACCAATTCGAATGACAGTATTGTCTCTGAAATGTTAGGGCAAGGAGTACAATCCAAACTCTCTGAAGTTATAAAAATACAGCTGCCCCAAATACTAACACTCTAAAGTCAGGGAACTTAGCAGAGTTGTTCTCTGTGATCAATCATGGGGGTCTAAGAAAGCCCAAGCTTTAAAGATGCATGACAAGATTTGTGCATCCCGAGGCAGGATTTTTCATATTTTGTAATAGCGTTATTCTAACATCCAAGAAATATTCTTCCAGGCACCTTTCCCTCCTTCGAATGGTGATTATTGTTCTTTTTATCTGTTTCTAAATAAAGATGTGAAGGAAAATGACGGGGAAAAGAAATGTTATCCTCTGGGAATAGCTTAAAAAATATATAAGGAATAACAATCACCCCACTTCTCCCATTTTAATTCTGACATGGAAGGACAAAAAGTGTTCTATTAAGTGCTAGATGCCAATTTTTACCAAATAACCTTTTCTCACATCCTCTTATTTTAATGATATAACCACATTTTTCTTCCCTCAAACATAGCTCCAAAAAGGTAAAAAAAAAACAAAAAAAAAACCACTGACCAAAAAGCTATTAAAGCCTTATGTTAAGATTTGTAAACATTCTAAAAATTGATTTGTAAAAATAATCCAATTATAGTTTAGAAATTTTTTTGCGAGGAAATTATGAAGTGTGAGTCATCCTTTGATTTCCAACCTTTCTTTTTTTTTTTTTTTTTTTAATAGAGGCATGTTTTTTATTTATTTATTTATTCGTTTGTTTGTTTTGTTTATACATGCACTGGGTACAGTCAGAAGCATGGGAGGGTGAGAGAATTCACCAGAGCCAGAGCGGGGAGCAGAGCAGGCAGAAGGACCGAAGTACACTGCTGAGGGGAGCAGCGGGCGGCAGGAGAGGTCTGCGCGCCATGTGGGACCCTCCTCCGGTGGCCGGGGAGCAGCCGGGGAACGAACTGGCGCTGCAGAGGCTGCGGGCAACTTCGCAACCCAGCGCTCAACCGCTGCGCCACAGGGGAGGCCCTGATTTCCAACCTTTCAACTGAGATATGGTACATGGTGTTTCGTACCCTGTTTTTTTTCCACTTGATAATATATTGTGAACATCTTTTATGATAATATACATAGCTCTTCCTTATTCTTTTTTTTTTAATAGAGGCATGTTTTATTTATTTGTTTGTTTGTTTGTTTTGTTTATACATGCACTGGGTACAGTCAGAAGCGCGGGAGAGTGAGAGAATTCACTAGAGCCAGAACGGGGAGCACAGCAGGCAGAAGGACCAAAGTACACTGCTGAGGGGAGCAGCGGGCAGCAGAAGAGGTCTGCGCGCCATGTGGGACCCTCCTCCGGGGTAGGGGAGCAGCCGGGGATCGAACCGGCGCCGCAGAGGCCGCGGGCCGCTGCGCCACCGGGGAGGCCCTTCCTTATTCTTTTTAATGAATTAAATTGTTAATTATCTAGTCTAATGGCCACTAGGAAGGCATTTTGAAAATCTGAGGAGGTGCTTTTTATTGTCACAGCAACGAGGCACACGACTGGAATCTCACCGGCAGGGCCCAGGGACATTAGGTTCTGCGATGCTCAATACATTCCCATCTAGCAAAGAACTGGCCTAAGCCCTGCGTGCTTGCAAATATCTGAACAGACATTCAACTAGACATTCATAAGTACATGAGGCTAGAAACTAATTCGGGAATACATATAAAACAAAACATTTCCGATAGTTTCAATATGTATTGAAATTTCCAAGAAGGCAACTGCATGTACTTCAAGAGATTATGTGTTGTTTTGCTTGGAACTTTACCAGGAGTCATTCAAGTTTGCAGTACTTCTGAGTCACTAATACAGTATACCTGCATCATTCTGCATCTGTAGTTGTAAGATGCACAGTGACTCAACATATGGGTACAAGCATCTGACTCTTCATGTCATTATGTTTTCTACTATAATCATGTCTAAACATACTGAGATACATGTTATTACAAACTGTGCTATTTCATTATAAGTTACTTTTCCCTTATTTATCCTTTCTATTATAGTTAGGGTATTATTTTTATTTCTTTGAAATCATGGGTGTAGATATGTTACATTGTCTGTGTATTTCATTTCCAAATAACAAAAGGGGCTTTAAAAATATTTTAAAAAGAAATCACTTTTGATCCCAGTCATTAAGTTGAGAACTAATATAACCAGTTCTCTACTGGTGGACATTTATGTTGTTCCAATTTATCACTATTATAACAAAAGCTGAGATCAACATTTGCATATGTACATTTTTCACATTTTGTTCCTCAGGATATATAACTTCCTAGAATAAGAATTGTTGAGGGTAAATAGAGTTATTAAGGCCTTTGGAGCTTTTAGATACATAATAAGACTGTCCTTCAAAAGGTATTTTACAACTTTTCTATAACTTAGGAAAAAAGAGTTTTAAGTCATCATTCAAAATCCAGACACATAAAGGGTTAATAAATTTGACTGCATAAACAAAACTAGTAACTCTTTCTTGATTAGAGAAAATACCAGGGGCCTCCTCCCAGGTGGCGCAGTGGTTGAGCGCTGGTTGCGAAGCTGCCCGCAGCCTCTGCAGTGCTGGTTCGATTCCCGGCTGCTCCCCGGCCACCGGCATGGCGCGCAGACCTCTCCTGCCGCCTGCTGCTCCCCTCAGCAGTGTACTTGGGTCCTTCTGCCTGCTCTGCTCCCCTCCCTGGCTCTGGTGAATTCTCTCACCCTCCCGCGCTTCTGACTGTACCCAGTGCTTATATAAATAAATAAATAAATCTTTAGGGGAAAAAAAAATACCATAAGCAGAGCAAAGAAGTAAATATACAGTAAGAAAATATTTGCAAACATATGACAGATAAAGGACTAAAATCTCTAACATATAAAGAACTTTTAAAAAATTGACAGAAAAAAAAGGGGGGCCAAAAATCCTATTGCAAAAGACATGGAGATAATTAAAAAAAAAAAAAAAGATTAAAAATGGTCCTTATACATATGAAAAGGCACTCAACTTCACTCATAGTAAGAACAATCTACACTGGATATAACTTCTTACCCATCAAATTACCAAAAATCAAAAGCTCGATAACATTACTTTTATTATTAAGGCTATGGGAACGGGTCTTCCCTGGTGGCGCGGCAGTTGAGCGCTGGGCAGCAAAGCTGCCCACAGCCTCTGCAGCACTGGTTCGATCCCCAGGCACCGGTTAGGGTCCCACATGGCCCGCAGACCTCTCCTGCCATACCCACTGCTCCCCTCAGCAGTGTACTTCTGCCTGTTCTGCTCTCTGCTCTGGTTCTGGTGAATTCTCTCACCCTCCCATGCTTCTGACTATACCCAGTACTTGTATAAATAAATAAATAAATCTTAAAAAGAAAGAAAGAAAGAAAAAAGGCTATGGGAAAATAGTCATTCTCATATATTGCTGATAAGAATACAAAATGGCATAACTATTGAGAGTCATTTAGCAATATCTAAATAAAACTATGCTTCCATTTATCTTTTTTTGGTTTTTTTTTTTTTTTTTTTTTTTTTAGATTTATTTATTTTTTTATTTATACAAGCACTGGGGTGCAGTCAGAAGCGCGGGAGGGTGAAAGAATTCACCAGAGCCAGAGCAGAGAGCAGAACAGGCAGACTGAAGAAGTACACTGCTGAGGGGAGCAGCGGGCAGCAGGAGAGGTCTGCGTGCCAAGTGGGACCCTCGCCCAGCGGCCGGGGATCGAACCGACGCTGCAGAGGCTGCAGGCAGCTTCGCAACCCAGCGCTCAACCGCTGCACCATCGGGAGGCCCCCATTTATCTTTTGATCTAGCAATCCCATACCTAGGAATTCACCCTGAATATACATCTCCAAGAACACAAAACACATATGCCAAGGTTATGCATTAGGACATCATCTGTACTCACAAAGCACTATGTAAGATGTCCAAGCACTATATAGTAGTTAACAAACTATGGTACATCCACATGATGGAGTATTATGCAGCTACGAAAAGGAATAAGGAAAATCTCTATAAACTAACAGTATTTTCAGGAGATAATGTCAAATGAAGGGAAAAAAAAACACACACCAAAAGCCAAAGTGCAAAAGAGTGTACAGAGTATTCAATCTTTTCTATAAGAAATTATGGGGGGGGAACCAAAACCATGCCATCTGCCTATCTTTGCAAAAAGAAACACAGGATACAAAAACTAGACAACAAAGAAGCAAGTATTTACAAGGGATTGGGGAATAGGGAATGGAATGGAGTGGAAGAGATGAAGGAAAGAGTGACAACTCTCCAAATATATCTTTTTGTATAGTTTTGATTTTGAAAGCATATTTATGTTTTATAAATTACAAAAATTAATACAGTATGGGAAGGAAAAACTGAAAGCAGAATGAGAGAGATGAACCCAACAATATTCCAAGAGAATACTATCACCACATTAAAAAGAGAAAAAAATAAAACAACCAATTCAAATAACTTATAAACATGTAACAGATACTTTCAGTTTGGGGTAGTAGAGGGAATAATTGCAAACAAATCTTGAACTTGTTGAAATAGATGGGTTTTCAACAGTTTATGTGCAAAGTAATTCTGAAATTATTTTGTATGTATTAAAAGACTTAGTAAACGTGCTAATGTTTTTGGGAGTCAGGATTCTCATTGAGGAAAGGACATATAAACAATGGGGGAAGTAGAAAAAAAGTCTATGAGGATGAATTAGAGTAACCATTAAAGTGAACTCCTGATTTCTAAAAAAAAATTATGTGAGAATATGCATGTATTTAGGATTATATGTGTGCATATATTTATATACTGCATGCACACACAAAAATTTCCTAGCCCTATGGGCCAAAAGAGGCAAGAGGTAAATCTAAGAGCAATAAGCAGTGACCAGAGCCTCCCTGGTGGCACAAGGGGTTAAGACGCAACCTACGAAGTTCTCCACTGCCACTGAAGCATGAGTTCAATCCCCAGCTACCCACATGGTGCAGCAGACCTCTCCTGACTCACCCGCTGCTCCCCTCAGCAGTGTATTTCAGTCGATCTGCCTGTTCTGTTCCCCACTCTGTCTCTGGTGGATCCTCTCACCCCTCATACCTCTGGCCTGTACCCCAGTTATTGTATGCATAAATATATAAATCTTTAAAAAAAATAAGCAGTGACCAGATCTTGGCTTCTAACGTCATCCCTCTCTAAGAGGAACCAGAGTGAGTCAGAGAAGTGGCTGATTCCAGGGCTAGGACAGAGGAGGTACAAAATGTACCTGGAACATGCAGATATGCCAAAAGTTAAGGAAATGGTCAAAAGTGATGGGGGCATGTCACAAGGATGCAGGAACAAGTTCGAAGGGGCTCACAGAGGTCAAATCAGGATACTCTGAGAAGCAAAATAGTTAAGTATGATAATGAATTTAAAAAACACTACAAAAATAGTAATTCATGTGTTCATACTGATAAATCAATAAGCAGGATACGAGTCTTTTGATTATAGTAGAATGCTAAGGACTAATTAGTAAATACAGAGTGCTGACTTAGAGGATTTAAAAAACCTCATCATTTTGCAACCATCACAGTAAACATTGAATCAGGCCAGAATCATCAATGGATGCTAAATCCAGGGAGAAATTCTGATAAGGAACAAGATATATTTATGGTCTGAAAATGTCTCCCTATGGAAACATGTCTCCCTTATTATATGTAAGGGGAAAAAATAGAAATTATACAGGGGAAAACTCAAATGGACATCTTAATTGTTTTTTCAAAATTATCACCAAAGAGGAATAGAAATAAGACCAGACAAACCAAAATGAGAAAGGGGGGGGGGGGTGGATATTCATTTAGGTTTTTTCCTCCATATGTAAAATGAGAAATCTGAACTAGATGTGTTTGAATACTTCATTCTGTAAATGTAAATAGGGCTAGTCAAGGAGCAAATAAATTAGAATCCCTTTAGAAACTGCTGAACAGGAAACAATACCCCAAATGTGCCTTTCTGATTCTTCTCTTTGGGACACTACTAACATCTAATAACGGGTCTCTATTTCTGCCAAATCTCTTATCTTGAATCAGAGAAAAAGCAGTATAATTGTTTTCCTTAGTTGTAAAATAGTTATAAAATATAATTAAGTTGCCTTTTTTCTCTGATTATATTAAGGTTTATTCTTAGAACAAAGTTCCACCTAAAAAGGGGAAAGGAATTTCCTATATTCTACCACTAACATTATTTCTTTATCAAGTTATCTAAAATATCATTGATCTAGAGAAATCCAACTGCTTTTGAAAAAATCTATTACAGGTTAATCATACTATGCCTAGTTCATCTGAATTTAGTTTTAAGACCTAGGGTGATATATCTGTGCCATTATGTTTAGTGACAATCAATAAAGTATTGGTTGATTTTATTTTGATGAGATATTCTCTTCCCTTTATGATCAGATTCACGAGGTCTTGTTGTTTAATCTCAAAGTGTTTATTTTTCTTTTTTGATCAACTTCTACTCAGTTTGCTCTTAATATTCATCTGGGACTTGTTTCCACAGTACTTACTGCTAAAGGAGCCCAAGCGGTCCATTTCCTAATTGACAAAGATGGAGGCTTTGATCCACAATGCAGAGCTCCTTTAGGATTTCAGAAGTCACCAACACACATACCAAAGCGTGATGACCACCCTATGAACAGAAGTGGCACATGGGTCAGAAAACAATTCCAAGGCACAAGTTAAAGAAAAAGATAATGAAACACACTCAACTCGACTACATCCTAACTTTGTATGCTAAGTCAATTATTTTACCTTTATATGTCTATTTCCTCCTCTGTAAAATGGTATGATACAGTATCTACATCCTAGAATTTTTCTAAGGATTCAATATCACAACTCATATAGATAATGTACCATGATGTCCGGCCCACTGTGAGCCCTTAATAAACAAATCTCTAATAAACAACTGCTACTTTTCTCTGCCCAGCATCACATCTCTCCTTTTTCCTTTGGAAAAACAGATCCTCCCACATTTTATATGGTTCTGATGGTGCTGCCAATCCCAATACTCCAATCCCTACAACTACACAACTAAAGCAACTAAAGCAAACAACTAAAGCAACTAAAGCAACCACTAACAACTAAACAACTAAAGCAAGTAAACAACTAAAGCAACCACATCTTACCACATCTTTACTAACTGAAATCTGAATCTTGAGTAAGATATTCAAGGACAGTCATTCACTCATCAAAGAATTTGGTCCATGAGTTCTGGCTGTTGAGATCCCCATCTCCACCAGTAGCCTAACTGTTTTGTTCTTTTCTTATTTCTGTCTTTCCAAAAAAACTTGAATGAGTTTCTGTTACTGGAAACCCAGGAATTCTATCTATTACAACATGTATTTCTTCACAAATTTACTCCTTGAACAAATATTTAATAGATATGTACATTGTAGAAAGTATCTTCTGAAAGGCAGGAGTCATACTTTATACTAAGAAACATCCCTCTTTTTCTAAATACCCCATAGCTTTTCATTTCTCTTTTCTGACATTTTTCACATTTTACTTTGTAAGGATTATTTCTTAATGCATATTTTCCCAACTATTCTAGACTAAAAGCAGAGACTACATCCAATACCAATCTGTATGCCTTAGAGTAGGAAGCACACAGAAAGAAACAATGGACACAAATGTAATGGGCAAATAACTGTCAGTTCTACAAAAGGTTAATTCATCTTTAGTTCTCCTGGAGTGACTTCTGTCTCCTGGTATTTTTAGCTTGGGGAATCATTCATCATTAAATGTAGGTAACACTCAGACAACATGGCTGTAAATGAACTTGTCTTTTTGGGAGGGGAAGGAGCACGTGGGGTGGTGTCACAGAAAATGTTAGTGATTGAAGAAAAACGAGTTTAGCAAGGGGGTACTGTGCACTCGACAATAAAGTAAGGGCCAACATTTATTGAAAATCTCCCGTGCCGGGTACTCTGGTATCACTGTATGGGATAAACTGAATTCTCACCCCGTTCTGAGGCACACTGCTTTTTCGAAAGACAGGAAAGATTGTGTTACCTGCACAATGTCTTATAGGTAGTGAACAGCAGTGATTTCAACCGAGGTTAACAGAAATGCTCAAGGAAAGGATGTGTAGAATAAAGCCTGATAAAACACTCGCGTCATAAACACAATGTTGCAATCAGCAGAATCTTCCTTCTTCCTCCCCTGCCCTCATAATAGACATTTCTGACACCACATCCGAGACACCATGGGCACTAGCGCCAACTAACAGCTGCCAAACGCAAAGAAGTCAATGGGAGAAGGTATGGGAGAAGGTTGGCACCCTGAGGGCCAGCATTCAGCGGGGTGCAGAGGAGAGGGGCACACTTTGGACTTGTCCACATAAAGCTCAGGTCCTCACTTTGTTCTCATCACCTGTACGACCTCGGCAAGTCATTCCACCTGCTCCTCGGCCTCCGCTCTACACGCGGCTGACACACCTGGAAGGCCTACTTGAACACTCAAAGGCAGAGGTCGGCCCGGGGCATGACACCCCGTGGCTGTTACTAGGATAACTGGGCGCTCCATTCCCGAGACCCGAACACCGAGGCGGGGACACCCCGGGTGGCCCACCGGGCGCAAGCGCCGGGCGCGGCGCGGGGCGGGGCCGGAGGGCGCAGGCCAGACCCGCACTGCCCTCCCCTGCGGCGCGGCCCGCCCGCCACGTCTCCGCCCGCCACGTCTCCGCCGGCCGCCGGGGCCCGCGGCGCCCCCCGCTAACTCCCGCGGCCCCCGCCTTCCCCGCGGCCCGGTAGAAGGGCTCGCGCCCCGCCGCTGCCGCCCGCCCGCCGGGCTGCGCCTCGTGCCTCACCTCGCCGCGTCCCCCTCCTCCGCCCTGAGGAGCCGCCGGCCGCGCGCGCGCCCCCGGGGCTGCGTGCTCGTGTCCGCGCCGCCCCGCCGCGCGCCCCGCCCCTGGGCCTCTGCCCCTGCGCCCGCGCCCCTCTGTGGAATCCCTGGCCTCGATCTGCCTCTGACTTTTTTGACTTGCCAGATTTCTGGGTCCAACCAGTGATCCGCCTTGCGGGGTGCCAGAGGCTAGCCAGAGCGCGATGCCAGTTGACACCCCCCACCCCCAGAGCGGTGAGGTGGTGCGGGCCCACAGCTGTCCTGCTTTTGTGTTTTTAACATTCCCACTCCCTTCTGTTGCAGCGAAGGAAATTGAGGCCAAGGGGCTGGGCCCTCAAACGCCGAGCAGCCTCTGGACTCTGGGTCTTACAGTGCTGCCCATGGATTAACCAGACTGAATGGTTTGAGGGTGAACAGGGTACGTCTTATTCAGATGCTTCTGGAACGTCGAAATTATCTTCTTTTGGAAAGAACCATCCCCTCTTTGGGCTTCAGATGCCCAGATTGAGGCGCAGTGATGACAGGATGTGGTGGTCCACTCTGATGTCACTCTTGAGGGCTAGGTATGTCCCAACATCTCTTATTACTGTACTAATTATTATAATAGCTACCAGTTGTCGAGTACTTACTGCATGCCAGGCATTGTACAAAGCAGGTTACATACATGATCTCATTTAATCTTCAAAAACAACCTGAAGAGGTAGGCACTATTATTATCCCAATTTTCTAGGTGAAGACATTTACACTCGGCCGTATAAATAATTTGGGATCACACTGCTAGAGAGTGTGTTGGGGAAATGCATTCAAACCGTGTTTTATCTTAACCATATGCTGTTACATCTGTTTAGAAGTTGATCCTTGATAATTTTCCCTGACCTCTTAGAATTCATGTATGCTCTCTGTCCTCTGTATTCATTTTAGTATATGAGTAACAAGTTCATTGTAAAAAAAAAAAAAAATCAGAAAATTCACAAAGAGCAAAATTGTGAAAACAGTTCCAGCCATGTAAAGTAGTTAACGTATTGGAATACAACTCTTCCAGACATTTTTCTGTGCCTCATGTCAAAACATAGGTTTTATTAGAGTAGTTTTACATTTTGATGTATCCTGAAAAGCTCTTCATTCATCCAACAAATTTTTAATGAGCCTACATTTCTAGATGCAGTGCACATTTCTAAATGCAGTGAACAAAGCAGTCTCTGCCTCATAGTGAGGGAGACTGACAGTGATCAATACAGCTAATGTATCACTAAATGCCAGTAACATAATATCCAGTAATGTGGCAAGTTTTGTGGAAGGAAGTTCATCAGGATAAAGGGATGAATGTGATGTGAGATGCTGTTTTGATAGAGATATATCTACCTTAAGACCTACTTAAGGACGACCTCTTAATGGATGAGCGTATAAATAGAAATCTAATCATTTAATGAGAGAGAGGCAGCTGTGTGGATTTCTAGAGGGTAACTTCTGGCAATTGCAATAGCCTTGAGATATAGACTTACTCGGCATGTTGGAGGAGAAGCCAGGCCAACCACGTGGCTGGAGCACAGCAAATTACAGAAATAAGATGGAAAACAGAGCCAGCAGCCAGATTATACTTGGGTAAACAATGGGTGGACTTTTAATTTTATTGGTATCTGATAGAAATGAAAGGACTGACAGCAGAGGAGTAAGGAGATTTGTTTAAAAGGATCCATCTGGCAGCTATATGGAGAGAGATGGTAGAGATGTTAAAATTGCCCTGTCCACTTCCAATAATGTTAGACCCTTATTAGAATTGTAAGCCCCATTTTGGTCTCTATGTTTGAGAAAGATGTGGAAAAATTAAATGCCCAGCAAGAGGTAGGATAACACTGATTAAGGCAATTCTTTCTTGAATTCTTGCCTTCAGCAATGAGGTGGAGCGTGACATCATTTATAAGACCAGCTGAAGAAAGAACTGATATGAAAGAGAAATTAGAAGTTCTGTTTTCAATCTGTGCTTTGCAATCTGAGTGAAAATGACATCTATGAGTTTAGAATTCAGGGGAGAGGCCAGAGCTAAAATTGTCTAAGTGTATTAGAATCGCTTGCAGTTGTTGTTTTGGATGTGTGTCTTCTTTAGACAGAGCTTGAGGACACATACTGTCTTTTCTTCTTTGCAACCTCAGTGCCCAGAAGTGCATCCTGGACGCATGTTTGTGAAAGAGCAAGTAAAGGCAAAGGTATGGATGGAGTCACTCAGGCAAAATGTATAAGGTAAAAAGAGAAGACATGCCATCTGTGCTTTCACTGCAGATCCCAGTTCGGGAACAGGGCCGAAACGCAGGGTGATCTTAAGTCTCGATTTTCTGAGGACACCCCTGGTTTATGTCTGTTGTTTCCACATAATTAGTGATCTTGTTTCATTTCACTCAGAAATATCTCAATTCATACAATATATCATATGGCCTCTCTTTGTAGAAGGCCTTTCACAGGTCAGTGTCTTCCTATTTCTTTGTCATCACCATCCTGTCTCATACTTCATTCTTTAGCCAGAGGGGAAGTTCCTCCTTTTCCCCTTATGCACCAATGTTGCTTCCAGGTTTCCTTTCCTTTGACCTATGCCTCACTTCTGAGTCCCCAAAGTTGGGGTTAAATAGCCTTTGTTAGCTTCGGACGCACCCTGTATTTAGCCTGTCAGATGACTAAGTGCCCTTGTTCCTCTCCTCACCAAACGTGTCTATAAAGGCACCTGGAAAAAAACACCTTTTGTGAACAGACATAACTAGTTCATGTTGGCTAGTATATTTGAAGACTGGCCTCCAGGACAGACTCCAGGCCCTTCTACTTTTACCTAAGAACATTGACTTTTGAAAGAGAAGCCTGGTGTGGAAAATTGTGTCCTGTCTTCAGGCTCTGTAACATATTTACCACTGACTGAGTTCAAACATCCTAATAACGCTTCTTCAGTTACTAAACTTCTGTGGTTAGAATCAGAAGTGCAGTTTCTCAGCCTCCCTCCCTATGGAAAGAATTCTTGCCATTGTTAGTTACTTTCTATGTCCTAAGTGGGAAAGACTGTAAATTTTATCTCATCTAACCTACATTTTTCCTATAACCGAGGTAACTCTTTGTAGTTGGGTGTACAGATAGATAAAAACAGAAACTCTTCAAAGTTTAACTCTACCTTCCAGATTTCTACTTCCTCCCTTTACGCCCTGGGCTGTACCCAGTCTGTGTAAATTAGTCCAAGATTTAGGTTTTGCAGAAGAGGGCTTGCCAATTACACGGCCTCTCCCTGGTATAGACTCATTAGAGAGGGCTTCTCCCACAGAAGGCCTGAGCCTCGAGGGTTACAGCTCTCTTGGTCACCCAGCAAGGCATTTTCCTGGCCTGGTTCAGCCTCTTCAGCCTCTGCTGCTGCCTCTTGCATTCAGGGGCATTGCCCTCCTCCTTCTGCCCTCCTCGCTACATCCTTTCATACTTCTCCCTTGGTGATCAAAGGCATTAGAGAATCAATCCTCAACTTACTTCACTTGATCCACCCCGACCTAAGCAGTCTGCCAAAGAAGGCTTGAAGCACCCTGCTAATCAACTTAAAGAAATGAAAAGTGTGCTTCTAGGTAACCAAGGATCTAGGGCCTAAGGATCTCCAAGGTGAACAGAGTGGGGGGAAAATTTCTGCAAAAAGGCCCTGCTGCATCCCACTTTACACTGGAAGAACCACTTGGCCAAAGCCTTTCAGTTACTAGCTGCACAACCAGAATTAAAGCCAGGTCTGTCCAAACGTAACTAGTAAGCTACCTTTGACTATTTAAAACTGAAGAGTTGAGGCCTCCCTGGTGGCATAAGGGGTTAAGTCTCAGCACAATGAAGCTATCGGCAGCCACTGCAACACGTGTTCCAATCCCTAGCCAGGGAGCTGACCCACATGGCACCGCAGACCTTTCCTGTGTGACCTGCTGGTCCCCTTCACAGTGTTTTCAGTAGATCCGCCTGTTCTGCTCCGCACTCTATCTCTGGTGAACCCTCCCCCCCACCGTACCTCTGGGCTATACCCCAGTTCTTGGATGTATAAATAAAATAAATCTTTAAAAAACAACAACAAAAAAAGTGGAGTTGCAGGTATGAGGGTTTCATAATGCCATCACAGTGAAGCAGAGTTTGCTATTCTTCTCTCCTGCCCCTTCTTCGCCACTCTGCCCTTCCTTTTGATCTACACAGAGGACAGGATATCTGTCTCATGAGTCACCAGGCATTGAGTAGAATCCAAAAGTTGGGCCAACTAGGAATGCATTGTTGGGAGAGACTTCTGTTTATCAGAAAAATTTTAAATGCCTACTAGGTGGCCTAGCTGCATGCTTTTCAGCCTCATCTCCAGGGCCTCCACCTTTTTACTGTCAGAACAGGCTCCTAAAGTATTTAGCATCATTTGATGGCAGGCAATCTATACTCTTTTGCAACCAATAAGTATCCAATAAATGTTTGAAATACAATTTTTAAAGAACCTGGCACCATTTAATATCATTGAAAAATATGGACGGTGGAGATTTCCTGAATGTGAATCCTGTCTCTATGCCTTTGTAACTTCAAGAACTTAGAAAGTTGTTATCTTTCCATACCTTTTTCCTCCTCATCTAAAATGAAAATAATACCTAATTCATAAGAGTTTTATAAGGATATAATGATATATATATTGTACCTATTACATGGTGGGAGTCAAATGCATTATAATTGTAATTCTAGAAGTGTTCCATAGGATGACCCTGGGGCTTGTTTAGAAGTTTTTCTAGGTGGGGACCTCCCTGGTGGTCTAGGGGTTAAGTCTCAGTGCTGTCAGTACCACAGCCTGAGTTCCATCCCTAGCCGGGGAGCTAACCCACATTTGGCACAGCAGACCTCTCCTGTCTCACCTGTTGCTCCCCTTAGCAGTTTATCTCAGTAAATCTGCCTGTTCTGCTCCCCACTCTGTCTCTGGTGAATCCTTTCACCCCCTGCACCTCTGGCCTACACTCTAGTTCTTCTATGCAAAAAAAAAAAGTTCTTCTTCATGAACTATCTACTGGAAGGTATAGGTTCCCAGGACATCACACAATGAAACAATATTTCTCTTTCTGCCTGCTTCTTCAGTATCTTCCTCACTTTACAAAGGAGAGTGTAGGAGAGTGTACAGTATGTCACAGGTCATAGTTGCAATCAAGTCAGATAATCCAGCCTTACCTCAAATGCAGAACAAACTAGGACCTCTCCTACTTAATTAATGTAAATAGTGAACAGACTTACACATTAGGAACAATTAACTAAATACTGCTCCTTAGACTACATGGTGAATACTTTACTATTGTAATCAAATAAAACTTACAAGGTTAATCTGATGCATATTTAATGACATGTGTAATTGTTATTGTGCTGCATGATAATTAGGCCTTAGTTGTTAAACTATTTACCTAAATGACTATAATTGGTTATTTTTACATAGCCAAACACATTTTTTAGTGTTTGTCTGCTCACTTTATTAATTTTCTAGATTCTGTAATCATGCCAAGGACAACAGTTTTCTCTGAAACCCTTGACTATTTAATCATGCACTCACACACACATACATACTCTTCAGAATGACACAGTAGAGTTCTCCTCCCAGCTTGCTACTAAAAATAGCTGCTGCTTAAGGCTCTCTGTATATAATCTCTCATTTTAGTTCTTTAAATCCCTTTAAGGGAGGTTTTATTATTCCCACTTTACTGATGCAGAAACAATGCTTGGAGAATGTAAGCAGGCAGAGAGATTTAAACTTCTACTCACAACCCCTAACAATTACCTTATGTCACTGTGGAAGGTTATGGATTCCAGCTGAGATGTGTAAAGTGGTTTTAGGAACTAGCATGGCTCCTGAGAAATACAGAATATGCACAGCATGTCCAGATGGAGAGTGAGTCAACCTGCAATCAGGAGAAGTTTGTAGTAAAAGATTGAAGCCTGTTGAAATTCACCTTTTTAGTGCTCATTCAAGGAAGATAGTCTTGGCCAATGAATTTCAAGCATCATTGCTCAATTAAAGGCTATTGTATTAAAGAAACACAAGGTCAACCTAATGCTATCAAATATTTGAATTTTAGAACTAAAGTCACACAATTTAAAGATCAATACAGGGGTTAATCTGGTGTTTCTCAACCTTTTTGTCATTATTGCCAATCCTAAAGAGCCTTTTTAGATATGCCATGTAATTGTTAATGTACTATATGTATATCTGTACTTTATGCATAACAAAGTAAGGGTTTTTTTATAACCCCTCAAGTGTAAGATTTTGTCCACCTCCATTGAGAGTACATGGTTAAACAATGACTCAAGACTAATGCAGCTTCCCATATAGGCTGCCTTAGGCCCAAGACAAGCTAGTTGTTCAGAGGGCAGTATTTCTGTACATAGGACAGTTATATTTCCAGTTGCAAATTAGTAAATTTATCATTTTACATATGAGCATGATTAATGTGGATCTATTCCTAAATAATAGCTCTGTGGAACAGTTGGGTACAGTTGGGTTTCTAAGACAAAAACAACCTCAAAGACCTTCTGCCAGAGAGCTTACTACCCTTCTACAAGTCAACCTACTGAATGTACCTTTTTATTTGAAACTTTTAGAGCATTCTTATGTGTTCATAACCTCATCTATAAATATTTATGGAGGGCTAAGGACTGTACCACTCATTATTAAGGAATCAAAGACAAATAAAATAGTCTGCATCTTCAAAGAGAAGTTCACTGTCTAGTTGGGGAGACAAATATGCTAAAAAATAATTACCATACAAGATAAAATGGCTGTGACAAGATGGGCTAGTTACAACGGGGACTTTAAGAAGGCTTCTGTCAATCCTAGGGAGAATTAAGGAAGTGATAATTTAAGAGGAATGGGAAGGGGAAAAAATGTCAGACAGAAACAACATGTTATTCAAAGACCAGAAGCATGACATTGCCCGGCTAGTTTAGTCTTTATGACTGGCCTACAGAGAGTAAGAAAGAAAAGGACCTCTGTTCTTGAAGTTGCATGAGTAGAGAGAGGTCAGACCTTAGTGGATTTTGCATCTTACTCCAGAGGCCATGGAGAGCCAGTGAAGCATTTTGAATTGGGAAGTGGCGTTATCATTATTTGGGGTTTTAGACCTAACTCTCTGGCAATGGTGCGAACTAAAAATTAGCAATATGAAAGACTAGGTGTGGCAGCTGTCCAAAGAAGAGATGAAGAGGGTCAAACTAACACCTTTGGAATAAAGATGAGAAAA